GCCGCTTTTGCCATTTTAACCTCCCCAGTTAGTGCCAAGTCACGGAACCCATCCAAACTGTATGCTTGGTCTGGTCCTTCAAGGGCAGCACAACCCTCTCTGGGAATAGATGTAATCTTTAACAGATTGGGTTTTTTGGAAAACACAGGATGGCTATGAATGGTAGACAACAACAATTTGTGAATGAGGTAGTGCAATCACATAATAAAAGGTTCACCTAGAAACATTCAATGTGCACAAAATAAACTGAGGAAACAAAGAGAAGCCTGTATATAGGATTACTCAATTCCTTTCACAAGCAAGCAATTACATTCTGCTAAAGGATCTCTCTTTGAGTGTTGTAATTGGGCTTTTAGTCCAATTGATATGTTTATAATGAACAATATTTGGTTTGATGCCTAAAGCAATCTTGGCAGCTTCTTTTGCATATGAGGTGAGATTCAGCCATTTATTTGTCTAAGGCATTGATTGGTATGAGATAGATTGCTTAGGTTTTAATAGCAATCTGTTTACACAGAACAATCTCTCATCATTCTACTATCTTTTAGGAATCTCAATGGATTTAATGCCTTCTTTCATTCCATTTCGTTTCACAATGCCTATCAGGTTGGATCTGTTTGACAGTAAATTTCTATGGATATGTATTCCAAAGTCAGTCCTGGAAGGCACAGGTTGGCATAATCCCTGCTGTTTGCCAGCAACTTTTGAATACTCAAGTTGTAAGAGAGCTTGTGGTGTCATTCAAACCCAGTGAGTATGGTAAACAAACTACCCAGAGTCTACTGGCTTGAGACAATATGGCAAGCTAGTCACAGCTTGAATAATCAAAATGGCTGCTCATTGTGTGGCAACTATTTATCCTGTAACTTGTACAAGCCCAAAGGATCCACTTGTGTCTTTAGCCATACCTCCACCACTCACTTCTATACTCAAATGTGATAAGAACTGCAAGCTACCTTTCCTATTCTGTAAGTGGAAGTGCCACTAAAAGAAACCAACGTATTCTCCTCCTCCTCAGCCATTGAACATGCTTCCTTTACAAGATCCTTGGCTGACTGGGGAGAGGCAGAGTGTAAAAAACAATTAAATTCATTTCTACTTGATGGCAACCTACGGGGCTGCCAGGATATCCCCAAGCAAATCTTAAATTAAGTCATTAACTGTGAAGACAAGTGATCTGAGAAAGACCAAAACTTTTTATGATCCTACATAATAACAACTAAGGCTCATGCTTTCACAACTTAATCCAGTCTAGTGATGTGGTAGCTGAGTAATCTCAGCACTTAGATACAGAGTGTCTGACAAGACTCTTGTGAACATATATGGACAAGTAGATAATGAATAGCTAACAAAAGTCCATGATGAAATGCTATGGCTTAAAAGCCAGCATCAAGTTTGCACATACATGAACTCTAATAAAAATTTCCTCTCAAACATTCATGATCATGCTTAATGAAATGTATTGATCTGATAACATATTTCATTATGCCTGTTGACAAAACACTAATGACTTAGAACCTAAGAAAATTATGAAGGGTCCACAAGGAAAGTCATGAGAAAAGACTAAAAGTAACTTCTCCAATCAGATGCCTCCCAGATACAATGGACTACAACTCCTACAGTTTTCAGTCCCATGGCCAATGGTGACAAGTAGTCCAGCACAGGCTGTGGAAAACTAAAGGAACAGTTTGTGAGTTAGGTATTTTAAGAAGGGGAGTAATGGTTCTCTCATTCCACAGACAGAGGACAAGATATAATGGGCTTAAATTCCAGGAAGATGCAGACTGCATAGAATTGCTAAATATAAAAAAAGTTCAGGAATGAAAACAGTTGCTTAGGGAGATCGTGGAATCCCATTGCATGTTTTCAAGAAGGTAAGGTTAGGCAAGAGTAACAAGAAACAGTTGAAGGAGATAATAGAATTGCAGCTATTAGAAGACAAAATGCAAGAAAGCACATGACCAAGTCTGTCTGAATCATTCCTTTTCAAGGATACTTGGAAGTATTATGAAAAATCAAGAACAAACTTGCTCCAAAGCAACTTTTTTACTATTCATTCTTTCTAGTCAACAGAGCAAGTTGAAATAATGTTAATCTGAACTGAAAGCCGTATTTGTGATGGTTTGTGTATTTTCAGGCATCTATTAGCACTGATCAAAACCATCTGGGAAGCATCTCAACACAGATACCAATCTTTATGTTTTACCCGTCTTTCATTTAGAACAAATGTAAATAAGTTCCTTTATCATGATGGGACCAGATCCCTTAGAGGAATTTTACTTAAACCATATAAGCTACTTCCTAATGTGGCCTTTGTGAAACCTTATTTGAAGCCAACTTATGTTAAATGTATGGAACTCTTTTAAAAATGCCTGTTGACATTCTACTTCTGCTCAAATTTCCAACAAAAAGGCTATTCACTGCAAAATTTCTTCATCTTCAAATGCTACAAAAAGGGGTAGTTCATGTGACTGGGGTGGGAGAAGACTGGTTAAATGAGCCCCAGAGGCTTCTTTAAGCTGCAACAGGTGCCATTTGCCTAACTGTCTGCTTGTGCAGGAATGGCTTGTCTTTGTCTGAACTCACGTGGACTGTACCCTCCAATATACATAAAGTTTTGCCCATCAGGTCAAACACAATGTGTCATTGAAAGTTGGGCAATGACCAGTTCCTCATCACCAGTGACTGAGAGCTCAGACAGGGCAATATTCCTAACAACTATTTATTTCTAATTAAAGAGTGCAAGGTAACATTGACAGGGGAGTATCCAATGCTGCTTTGCTTATGCCATTGACAAACTGATAGCATAAGCAACCTCTAACCTAACACTGATAGTACTAATAAATCTATAGTACTAGTTTATGATACTGCCATAGTGCTAAAGGTCACTTACACTAGTGCTAGCTTAATGGCATAAACAGAGCAGCAGCACTGGATACTACCCATAATTCTCCCATTTTATCTTCTTTTTACTCTGGAAATGACAAACTCAGAAGAAATTGAGTAGTTCTAATCCTGAGGCAAGATGTAGCAGAATTAGTAAGGGCCTATAGTGCAAAGCCTGAGCATATCTTTTTATTAGAAAATGAATCAACGTAACCATTACAACTGAAGACTTTCTTCAAAGAAACTGAAAACTTCTATACAAAATAGGAGAAGAATTCATAGAAACCTATAAAGCCAACAATCTGTTTATAACAAACACATATGTCAAGCAACTGAGCAGAAGACTGTATACATGGACATCACCACATGGCCAATATAGAAATCAAACAGACTATGTAATTAGAAATAAAACATGGAGAAACGGGACTCTCACTACCAAAAGATGACCAGGAGCAGATTACAAAGAAATAGAACAGCAAAGAAAGAGATAACAAGGGACCTCTTCCAGCAGGTCCAGGAAATGCAAGGGAAATTCAGACCTACATTAGGAATGCTGAAAGACCAACAGGGGGACATATTATCTGACCAGGAGAAAATAAAGAGAAGGTGGAAAGAATATACAGAAGAACTATACAGAAGAGGACTGGATCCTTTGAAGATGGATCTTATAAGGAAAAGCCTGCAGTATCAGAAAGTGAAAGCTGCTGTGAAAGCATTTGAAAAGAATTAAGCACCCAAGTAGATAGCATATCAATAAAAATATTCCAAGCTGTAGGGTCAGGAGGTCCTGACAATGTCTCACAAACTGGAAACGTCTAATATACATCCCAAGCCACAAGAAAGGAGATGCAAAAGACTGCAGCAACCATAGGAACATTGCACTAATTTCCTGAACAAGCAAAGTGTTGCTCAAAGTGCTGCAAGAGTATTACCCTACATGAAGCAAGGAATGCTTGACATTCAAGCTGCATTTCAAATAGGAACAGGCACTTGAGATCATATACATTGGCTACTGGAGTGCACCAAAAATTCAGAAGAAAATCAGTCTGTGCTTTATAGACTACAGCAAAGCCTTTGACTCTAAACATCAAGGAAGTTATGAAGGGCTCTAGAAGAAATGGAGGTGCCTTGGGCTTTATTATCCTGATGCATAACCTGTATTGTAGACAAAGAGCTACTGTTAGAACAGCATTTGGAGAAACAGAATGGTTTCCTATAGACTAAAACATCAGACAAGGGTTTGTTTTATCTTCCTATCTTCTCAATCTATATGTAGAAAATATCATAAGGAAAGCTGGATTATGATCAGAGGAAGGATTTAAAATTGGCAGAAGACATAGCGAGAAATAAAGATGGCAGAAAGCAGCCAAGAATTGAAATGACTCCTGAAGAAAATGAAATAAGAAACTAAGAGCAGGGGCACAGCTGAACATTCAGAAAAGAAAAATCACGATACAGAAGAATGACAGAACATGACTGCCAACAAGAAGAAACTGAAATTGTGAAAGGGTTTGTATACTTTGTTTCAGTCATCAGTTCAAAGGGGAACCACAGAAGGAAGTAAAAAAGATCATCAAGGATGTTTCACTAGAGACCAAGGCCAAGATCATTCATATTATTATATTCCCAATCACTATGTGTGGCTGTGAAAGCTTGGAAGTGAAGAAAGCTGAAAGGAAGAAAATCGATGCATTGGAAACATGGTGCTGGAAGAGAGCCCTGCAAATACCCTGGACAAGTGGATCCTAGATTAAATCATGGTAGAACTTTTTCTGGAAGCAAAAATGAGGAAATTGAACTTATTGTATTTTGGGCACCCTGTGAAAAGGCAAGACTCACTGGAAAAAACAATGGGAAAATCAAAGGAGGAGGCAGAGGAGGCAGAGGAGGAGATACATCAATTCCATAAAAGAAGCCTTAGACTGAGTTTACAAGAGCTGGGCAAGTCTGAAGGATAAGAGTTTTGGAAGGGATTCATAATACCACCATAACATGGAGATACTTGACTGCACATGGCAACAACAAAAATGGTCTACATTTTTAAAAAAGTATGCTGCTTTTTAAAGCAGCTTATACCATTTTGAATACATTGGAAAAATTGAAAGACAACTATAGAATGAGGACAAGCTATTTAATAGAATGATAGCCATGTAAGTACACTAGTTTAAAATGCTAACGTCTGATCTGCAAGTCTATTAATTAATACAAAGTTTTCAAAATATAATACAAGCCCCTTTTCTACTTCTAAAGGGTAAATCTCTTCTGTAGAGTTAGAATTTAGTATTTCACAGAACTAATTTTGAGAAGATATGCATCCAGGTTGCCAGTATATTTCAATGAGTCAATTTATCTTCTAAAATGGAAATGCTTCATCTTGGTCTCCACTTAATGTCCTTTACACCATGGAAGTGCCTTTTCAATGCTTGCGAGTCGGCCCATTCAGAGTCTAAAAATGAATCATCATCATTTTCTTCTAATTTCTGAAAAAAGAATTTTCAAAGAAAATGTGTAATACATTTCAAAAACATTTAGCTATCTTATTTTGTACAGTATACATATGCAGCAGCACCATTTAATACCTTGAGTTCCTCTTGCCTTTTGTGATAGAAAAGAAGCATCTGTTTGTGCTCTTCATTACTTATGACAGGCTCACGGGCTGGGGCTCCTTGTCCTTTCTAGAGAAACAAAATAGCATACTGTATCTTGCCATGATCTTGACTACAAGCAGATCAATAGAAAAGTTTCTAATACTGTCATGTTTTAGTGATTAAGATACACTCACAAAGAACCCCAGATTGAGATCTGCAGATAGAAGCAGGCCAGCTTCTCAGGACAGAGAGAAGGGGTCTCCCATGTATTTAATTTACTTGAAGACAACTTGTTGGCATTAACAATGATGGTAAAATGACAGTCCCGGGTTTGGATGACCAGAGAAGCCATAGTGAAGTATGGAAACCTGAGAACAGTCTGTTCTTTCTTTGGTTTCAGAAAGCTAATCCTACCATGCAAGAACTCCAAAACTGTTTCCAGACAACACAACATATCCACAGTGATAAGATTTTACTATGGCTTCTCACAACATGTGAACCCACCCTATAATAAGATTTGGGGCTATACTTACTTTCTGCATTTTTACAATAATCTTGGTTTTCTCATTTTTGCCCACATAGTCAGAAAGTTGGTTTGTTCTTTTCAACTGCTTTGCTGCCCACCACAGTTGTGCTTCTGATTCCTCAATAATTTCAAGTGCAGCCTATGAAAGATCAATCCATTCAGTGTGGAGGACCTTCCAACAACAAATATGTAGGTTGCATCCATTCAACATGATAAACAACCCTGCATGGTTACGATGGTTCATTTTTTAAACCATAATCTACCTGAAAATCAAGTGATACCTACTTTATTATGGTTTCCATTCTCTCTGCTCAGTGTTCTCACTGTTGCATTGTGTACCATTAGCCACTACGCCTGAAATTCCATCCCAAGGTGCATTGCTCCCTGCTTAGGTCACCTGCCTCTTCCTTATTGGTTCACACATAGAGACTGGATGGCTGGAATGGCTCTTAAAGTTGCCCCTCTTTCCAGAGGACTTTGCAGTAATTGCATACCAGGACAATGGAAACCAGGATCTTGGATTCATACAAAAAGTCATGATGGTATGGAGAAACCACAGAACAAACTGTTTCTTACAATGGTTTCTGAGGACTAAACTTACCATGGTGAAATGCCATGACTGTGTTCAAACTACATGACAGTCCAACAATGATAAAAAAAAAACCACCATGGTTTATTGTGCTTTCTGAACCCAAGCATAGTTTACATCTTGTACAGTTTCCTTCTGGAAGAACTGGGAACAACTTTTCTGATAGCAGTATGCACTCTCTATCAGCAAACAGTTCAAGTGAACAAACAGAAGGGCATGAGAACAGAAGAACTCATTTGGCTCCTGAAATAACAAAACAAAATCAGGGATACAGAATGTGTGGCCGGTGCAATAAAGGAGGCACTTGAAAAAAACCCCCTGTGAACCTCAAGTATTGGTAGGGTAGTGCTAAAGAGGAAAGGGTGTGGACTCACGTTTTTCTTTTAAAAACACATCATAAACTAACATAGGAGGCTTACATATAACATTATTACTTAAAATATAGTATTACCATGGTCTGTGAGGCAACTTTCCTTATGTGGTGACCAATTTTGTAAGATGCCAAATAATGAGATTTAAACATATTCTGGCCTTGTTGTGATGGGAAGCTGTATCTAATGGATTCACAGAACTGCTGCTAACTTTGTATTCATTTCAGTGCAATGCAGCATACAGGCGCCAGCATTTATGCTTAATAATCATATGCAATACATAACATTTTTAAGATGGATTTTAAAAAACTGTTATCATAAAAGTCAGCTAAATAATAAGTTAAAGAAATGCCATAATTTCTAATGAGTACTTGTTGGCTTGTTGAATTTTTAGAAACTTGACACCACTGGGATGCAAAAACCAGGATTCCCTGCAATCCAAAATGTGATTCTGTAGTAATGGTCAATTGCTCCATAGTGTAGAAACAAGGGGAAGGAGACTCTGGCCCCAGCCACCAATGCAACCAGCAACTCCACTGAAAGGTTGTTTCTTTGCCTCCGAAGAACACCAAAGAAGGAAAACATTTTAAATGTAGCCACACAGAACCTTGGGGATGAAGGAATATATAAACCAGGCGCACTGAGCTTCTTCCAGCTGAAGAGCGGAATTCTATTTTGGCGCTCTTAGGGCCCACATTCCCCAGACAGCTTTGGCTGTTGGGCAGTACAGAAATAAACAAACAAATAAATTCCACTGGTGGAGCAGGTCAAAGGCATAAAGGACAAAGTCAAAAATATCAGCTTATTTTAGCTTAAAACTGTACTCTCTGAAGTAAACTGTGCTGATGTTGGCCTTGTTGGCAGACCTTTCAGTTAGCAGTTAATAAATTACCACCACGGCTGCCCCCCACTGCCAGACATCGCAGACTGCCCCCCATGCCCCCTGGTGAGAGCCGATGGGGCCAGGGATAGAGAGTGCTGTTCTGTGCCACACCTGCATCCAGAAGAGGGGGGGCTTCCCATCACAGGACCTTTTGAGGGACTCAACACGTTGGGCAGCCCATCGTCATCGTTGCTGCTGCCACCACCCCCCGTCCACAACTGGACATCACATTTTTATTTTCATATTGTTGTTCCTATGCATATTTTTAAATCTGTAAACCACCCAGACAGCCCAAAAGGCTATGGGTGGTAGAAACGTGTGATGATGGTTGTGGTGGTGGTGGTGATAATGATATTGTAGCAATTAAGCCTCAGAAGAGACAGTTCAACATTCTAGAATGGAGAAAAAACTGCACAACTTCTAAACAATAGATACCTGGGGGAAGGGGAACAGGTGTGGCCTTTTCGTGAAGTCCTGAGGGCCAGATTTGGCCCCTGAGCCTATTTCTCCCACTCAAATAAAGAAAATACATATATAAATACACATACTGCAAAAGCCTCAAACCTTTCAATCGAGGAAGGCCTTTTAAAGCTAGAAACAACATAACCTGGGTAAATTATTACTTGAGTTCCTGACAGATCTTCTTTATCTTCAAACTCCATTTTAATTGGGTCATATGGAGGGAGTCCCATTGGATAAACAATCATTACAGCTCCACGGAGCTGGTCCAGCGCATCTTTCACCATATCCATATTAACACAAACATTGGCTTGCACTTGTTTCTACAATACAAACAGACACCATTTCATTTATCAGTCTAATAAAGCATAGGAAAAAAAACATTTTCCTTTTAGTCCAACAATGCAACTCAGCATGACACTGCAGTAAACAAAGTAATGCTTTGCTTAAAAATAAATATGTAAATGTGTATCTTACTGAACATATAATAGCTTAAGTAGAAATGAAATCTGTTACAAAATATTATATTTAAAACAGTTATTCCAAGTGTGTGCAACACTCCCCCTCCAATAAAGAAAAACAAACAAACAAAAAAGCCTCTGATTGTGGAATAGCCATTTTGTTTACTAATTTTTTCAGAGTTTTAAAATTTAAGAATTACCCTATATATTAGAGGGAAAATCCAGCAGCATAATCTATTTAGAGCTAAGCACATTAATAGCCTATTGACCTGTAATGTGAATAAACTGACCACCTTATGAATTTTCCTACTGAAATCAATGATACTTGTATATTTACATTTTATGTTTTATTGGGCTTTTATGAAAAACAACCACCCCTTCATCCAAAAATAGATGTGAGTAGACTGCAGGTGGCTCAGTGGTTTAAACCACTGTGCTGCTGGGTTGGTTGATCGAAAGGTTGCCGGTTCGAATCTGCACAACGGGGTGAGTTCCCGTTGCTCCGTCCCAGCTCCTGCAAACCTTGCAGTTCGAAAGCGTGCAAATGCAAGTAGATAAAAAGGTACCACTTCGGTAGGCAGGTAACAGCATTCCGTGTACCTTGGTGTTTAGTCATGCTGGCCACATGACCACGGAGACTGTCTGCGGACAAACGCTGGCTCCCTCGGCTAGGAAACGGAGATGAGCACTGCCCCTAGAGTCAGGCATGACTGGACGTAACGTCAAGGGGAAACCTTTACCTTTTTTAACCTTTTAGAATGCTAGAAAGAGGGAGACACCTTGTGGCAAAGACCTGTATTACTTCTTCCTTAGCTTCAAAACAATTTTGATTGGGAAAAGGTATGCTGCTCCAAATGAATTGGTAACTCATAGTGCTAAAACATTTTTGTGTGCCCAGGCCATTGTCCTGATATAGTTTGTTGCATTTTAAATGGTTTAATGACTGTAGCGTATTTTATTTGCTTTGTATAATTATTCAACCATTTTGAGGTCTGGTTTTATATATTACCCCACTAATTTCTGATGAGCTATTCTTAAAAAAATGTTAATAAATTAGGGTACAATCCCATGGATTGTATCCTAAAACTGCTCAAAAGCCCCTGAACGTATGCCCTAAAGCTGGCAGGGTTGAAGAAGTAATGGTAACAATCTTTGGCTGCCCATCCTCTCATCTTTTAGTTTTTGTTAGATGGGTTTCGAAACCCATCTACTGAGGGTACTTCAGAGGATGAGAGAAGGAGACAGGTGGTGGCTCAGGATAAATTGTATCTTGGCTTCCCTTGTCTCCTTCCCTGCTCACTCACAGGAATGCCCGCTTCCCCCTCTTCAAGCTACATTTTCCAGCTATGAAGCAGCAGTTGGCAGAGCCTTTTTGGCTTTCCCTTCTGAGGTTACAGCTGTCTCTGATCTCCTTGGAGAGAAATCTGACTGGTTCTATGCTCCCTGAGGCTCTCACTCAGGATTCATGGATTTGCTTTCTTAATAAGGCTGCATTTCAGTAAACACACCCATCTAGAGGAACCTAAGTCCAGAATCAGATCTAATTTGTCCTTAATAATGCATGAGTGTATACATGCTTATGTTTTAATCATAACTGACTTAACAAAAAGTTGATTTCTCCACTTAATTTGGTAATCAAGTGGGATTAAGCTAGAAATATCCATGTACTACAGCATCTCTAACCAGTTTTCCTTTATATGATTACTCCAAAGAAAATCAAAATATATAGGCGTGAGCAACAGCGTTAAGAGCTATTGAGGGCATTTCTAAGTAACCACCATCTTCCTATGTCACACGAAGATAATCCTCAGATGGCTTGCATTGCTCTGGCTACAACTGTTGGCATGCAGACTCTTAGGAACAGAACTTCAGTTGTTCCTTTGAATAGTCACTTTACTCCTGTAAAAGTTGCTTCTGACAAAACAGAAGTGCTAATAGTCAACATTATGACTATATTAAGGAGTGTCAATTGATTGTCTCATATTTCAGACTAAGAATACAAGCATCTTACCTTAGATATGAGTGCCTTAGCTTCTTCTACTGTTGCTTTCAATACCTGTTTCATTTTTTCATTTGGAGCTCAAAATAAAAAAAGGTACATTTAATACCATATGCCATCATAGAAACATATAGACTGTTAGAAAACCCTCAATAGGCAGCATCCTATATTCTCACTGCAGGACTCACTGCTATAGCAACAAGAGCTAGTGCATCTGAAAAACATTTCTGTGAGCTCTGCTGACCTGCCTTATTTTAAAAACAAGTGTTTACACTGTTTCCAAATGCTTCAGGAACCTCAATGGAGTCGCAATATTACCCTTCCTGCCTGCTCTCATATCTAATGAGAGAGGATGGAGGCTACCAGGAAAGCACATCACATGGGGTGTAGTGTCTATAGATTACAGTATAAAGAAGTGTAGTATTTTGCCACTCAGTATTTTTCAGGCTGCAATCTAGAGCACGTTATGATGACAAAGAGAAAAGGCCATTTCCATCTCCCTTGACAAAGACAAGCAAGGTTTTCGCCAAGCTGTACCCAATGAATATTATGCTGCTAACCAGCAGTCCAGGCAATAGCAGTAGTTTCTATCAAGGAAGGTGAAAAGAGGCAGGGAAAGAGGAATGAGAAGAGATGTACAGTCAATTCTTATACGTATGGATTTATAAAAAGTCCCACTGTGCTCAGCTATGTTTATCTAGAATAAAAAAAAAATACTGGTTTCTCTTCAGCAAGCAAACCAGTACCAACACTTCTGACAATGGAACAGCAGACAGCAAGGACTAAGCCAAGGAAAGAAAGACAGCAGAGGCACCAAAGACAATAGAGGCAACTACTGAAGGAGGTCCAAAACCATGTTTGTTTGTCTCTTTGTCTCTGTCTGTCTGTCTCTCTCTGTGTGTGTCTGTGTTTGCATATGAGGACATGAGGACGTTTAAATAAGTAACCAGTTGCAACAGGAAATATACTGGGTTGGACCGAAACTCTGCCTTGGATGAAGACAGAAGGTCTTCATCCAATTTTCAGAGAAGTCTCCTCTCTCCCCTCCACATAGCCCTGACCCTTGACAAAGCATTTTCAGGGGAAGCCCTTTGCTGCTTGCCAGCCCAGCTGCTTGTTCCTACATCCAAAGCCAGCCTATTAACATGATGGACGTACACACAGGAAGGTGATATATCATAATACTTGGTATAGTGCTAAGCATAAAAAACAGTTGGGACACACTTTTTTTGATTGTGCAGAAAGGTATAGTATACACCTGCAAAAACACATGATAGGAAAGAGTACATAATTAACATTAGTTTCTTGCTAAATATGCAAATATATGCAATTATCAGAATACAAAAAACATTCCTTATAAAAACCTATCAATATATGCATCCTTAAGTTGCTTTTAATTATTTACCATGACCATTTCTCCGTCCAATTTCATCTTTTTTGAAGATACTTCCACCACTGGGAATACATTTTTCTGCCCATTCATCCTTCAGCTTCAGCTCTTCAATTTGTTCATCTGTCAGACCTTGCATATTAGGAGGTAAGAAAATACCATGTTCTGCCAATGACTCCACTTCTATAACAGGATCATAGAACGGGACAAGAAGGAAATTTTATGTCATATATCCTACACCTTATTCACAGAGATATCTAAAATCAAGTGCCATTAAAACATAACCTTATTTCTACATCACACAGTCACACTTAACTTCATCCTGCATATTGACATAACTGACATGCTCCAGACTTACACTACTGTGTAATTTGTGGATAAATTGAACTACAATGTAACCCCTTCTAGAATCATGGTAGAAAATAATGTCCTTAAATGTTAGCCTCTTGCCTTTATAGTTTTCTTTATATAAACTGAAACATACCTGGAGTAATAAAATGTCCCTCAAATGTGTGTAATCATAGTTATGTGGAGCAATTTTATACCCAAAATAAGGCACAGAAGGAGCTTAACTGTAAGTCATCACAGTCTCTTGGGAAAGCTAAGAGTTTGAGCTAAAACTCCCCAGCAAACTGGATTAAAATCCTTTGAGGAAAAAAAAAATGATGCTGATGTGAAGTTTGTAGGCCAAAGTACTATTATGCAAATTAAATGTCAATAGGCCTGCTTCTGTTATGCAGATTTTATTGTTATACGTTGCTGCAGCACAGTAAGTCTTAAATTACTTGTACTAGCCTGAAACCTGAAATCCATTCTTAGATTGATTCAGTCCTTTTGTGGGAAACATTCAGACAAACAAAGGCCTTTTATGCAGCATTTGCTTTGCTTGAGTCATCTGGGGTCAAAAATGACCCATTATGTGGCTCATGTTAGGTTTCAAACTGATGTATGATGAAGGTTAAAAAGCTGTTATCACATGAGTTTGATACAGAGGATTATATAACTGAGCCATAAGATGACTGCAAGCAGCTCAATTCTCTGCATAAGGAGCATCAGTACTATATTCATGAGTGTTCATATTAAAACAGAATGGAAGTACTGAGTTTTCCTTGATGGTTAATACTTAATACAATAATTTGTCACCTGCACAAATACGCTGAATTTTGAGCCTTCCGTTGTAGATTTTGGCGATTTGCTGTGTTAAATCTTCAATGGATACACTGACTGTTGTCTCCAGCAAGAATTGGCTTTCATCGCCATGTTTCACATGGAGCAGAACCATTTCTACAAGAGGACACACAGATTTGGGTCAAACCCAGGACTGAGTCAAGATATTATGCTGCCTGAGGTGAGGTATGAGATTTTCCCTTTACATTCCCCATGCAAAAGCTGACTGAATGGGCTGTTAAATCTTACTTCAACACTGGCAACTGGACAGCAGTAACCTTCTGGGACCCCTCTCTACATAGAATGTCTCGTTAATAGGCTAAAGAGTGCAGCAAAGGGCCCAAAATAAGGGCATAAGCTGTTCTTAAGGAATCAGAAATCAAACCAGCAAATGCAAACTCCATGTTGCACCATGAAACACTGAAAGCGATACTAAAGACAGCCCCTGAGCATACACAAAGTAGAGTATATTTTCCACATTTCTTAATTGCAGCAGGGGTAGGGACTGAGTAGGGCTTATGGGAACTGCAGCCCAATAGCATCTTGTGGCAGGCAGCTGAATGAAAATGTTGATCCAGTGCACAGCTGCTGTAAAAAAAATCAAGCTCCATGTTAGGCATAATAAGGAAGAGAAATGAAAATATAACTGCCAATATCATACTGCCCTTATATACATCTATAGTGCAACTAGAATATTAGTTTTGTTGCCATACCTAAAAAAGAATATTGTAGAGTTGGAAAGAATGAAGAATAGGATTAGAGCAACTCCTCTATGAGGAAAAAGTTATAACAGCTAAGGTGGTTTAGCCTGGAAAAAAGGTAAGAGAATACATGATTGAGCTGTTTAAAATTTTGTATAGTGTGGAGGAAGGGGAGAAGAAGACACTTTTCTTGCTATCTCATATTAGTACCCAGAATCATCCCACGAAGTTGACTAGTGGGAGACTTAGGAGAGATAAAAAGAAATATTCAGAACAAAAGACATGTGAAAGACATGTCAATAAAATGGATGTTTAAAGTGGATGGCAGAGTGATAACAGATGAGAAAAAGATAAGAAAAAGGTAGAGGTGCTTAATTCCTACTTCACCTCAGTCTTTTCCAAGAAAATCTACAACAAACAGGAAGTACAAAAATAAAAGAGAGACGGCAGCCCAAGTTTGACAGACAAATGGTCAAGGAATAAACATTTTCAGATTTTCAGGGCCTGATGAACTCCATTCCAGAATCATAAAAGAGCTAGCGGAATAATTCTCAGAACCACTAACTATTCTCTTTGATAAATCATGGAAAAAAGAAGTGCCAGATGACTGGAGAAGGGTTAATGTTGTCCCCATCTTCAAAAAGGGGGAAATGGATGAACATAGGAACTACGGAACAGTTGGTGTGACATCAACCCCTGAAAAAATTCTGGAGCAAATTATTAAAAAGTCAAGTCTGCAAGCACCTTGAAGAAAATGTAGCGATTAATAAAAGTCAACATGGATTTATCAAAAATAAATCCTCTCAGACTATTTTAATCTCATTTTTTCACCGGGTTACTTTCCAAATGGACAGAAGGAACACTGTGGACATAATCTATCTTGAGTTCAGCAAAACTTTTGACATGGTGCCCCATGACATTCTGATCCGCAAATTAGCAAAAAGTGAACTAAATAGAAAAGCTATTAGGTGGATCCAAAATTGGCTGCTAAATCAGATACAAAGAGTACTCATCAATGGCACCTTCTTAAACTGGATGGAGGCAACTAGTCGGGTGCTGCAGGGTTCAGTCCTGGGCCCAGCAGTCTTCAAGATTTTTATTAATGATTTAGATGAGGAAGTACAAGGAAAGATAATCAAATTTGCAGACAGTACAAAACTGGGTGAAATAGTGAATGCCCTAGAAGACAGAATGACGATCCAGGATGATCCCGATAAACTTGAACACTGGGCTGGAAGCTACAGAATGAGATTCAATACAGACAAATGTCAAGCCTTCCACCTAGAAAAAAGAAACCAAATGCATCGATAGAAGATGGGGAATAAGTGGCTCAACAGAACTGAAAAAGATCTTGGAGTTATTAGGCTGGATACGAGTCAAAAATGTGATGCAGCTGCAAAAAAGGCAAATGCTGATTTTGGATGCATGAATAGAAGCATTACTTCCAAATCATGAGAAGAAGTAGCTCCTCTATACTCCTTACTAGTCAGACCTCATCTGGAATACTGTGTCCAGCTCTGGGCACCAAGATTTAAGAAAGATGCAGAAAAATTAGAAAGGGCCCGGAGGAGGGCAGCAAAAATTATCCAGCGTTGGAAACACTGCCCTATGAGGAGAGACTGAGAGCACTGGGCATGTTCAGCCTTGAGAAGAGAACACTAAGGAGGGACATGATATCCCTCTATAGGTACCTCAAAGGCTGCCACAAAGAGGAAGGTCAAGATCTCTTCTTGCTGATACCAGAGTCCTACAGGACACGGAATAATCAATTCAGTTTGCGACAATTCAGGCTAAATATCAGGAACAGTTTTCTCACATTCAGCGCAATACAATAGTGAAACCTGCTGAGCGTGCGAGAATACTTTGCACATTGCGGGCCCCGCCCCTTTAACTGTTACTTCCGTATCCATGGAAACGAACAGTCCCAGAGAAAATAGTGCGCATGCAGCCCCTTCACCTTCCCTCCTTCTCATCCCTCAGAGCTCAACAAATACGCTCACCTGGATTAATGCAGAGGCAAGCCTTCCCTGTCCCTCGCCCCCACTCTCCGTGCCCCTCTGACGCAGCAGACACTCACGTCTATCCGCAGCGCGGCATAGCTCTTCATGCCTTATCTCACTACCCAGGAAGTGTTCCTTGTACAGCCAATCACATCCCACGTACTCAAGAACGACCTCAGCCAGGATCCGCAACTTGCCTGCCACTCAGCAGTCCTGACTCCGCCCCTATAACGGAAGAGGAGGGAGGAAAGCAAGGTAAGGGGCGAAGGGCGGTGCTGCATTTTTAAAGAGACAGGTTCCTATTAAGGGGTGATTCTGAGTAGACTTCTCGCAAAGAAACAGCTTTTCCATCGCGGAGAGTGGCAAGTTTCCGAAGCGAGAGGAAAAGTTGGCCAGCAAAGTGCTGAAGTGACTCAAACACGAATCTTCCCCACCTTCAAGCCAAGCAAAAGAACCTGTGGGAGGCGAGAATTTTTTTGGCACTTGATGAAATGGGGAGGCGGAGCAACTACGCGCGCCTCTTTATCCGAGCTGGCAGAACCGAGAGCAACATGCCAATGAGTCTGTAGCTACAAAGCCCCGCCTATTTTCTTCTTTTCAGTGGAAAACACTGCCGTGGAGCTTGTGCACTTTGCGTATGCGCAGGAGAACCTCTTTCCGGCCACTGACAACTCCGCTCTTACGCACGCTTTTTGTGCAATCAAGCTCTCCTGCGTTGCTTCGATCACACGCAAACAAACAGAGGCAAGAGAGAAGAAACGCAGTAACTGCACAATCTCTTATCGGCAGCACTGGGAGCTTTCCGGTGGGAACCTGTGAATGGGCAGGAGTTTCCCCAGCCTCTGCTCCTGCTTTGGACTCACTCTCCAGTGTTGGTGTTTGAATACGTAAGTGGGTGGGGGGATTCTGGGGGTTCCGCGTTTAAGGCAATTGAAAGGACCCTGGCTGGGAAGGCTACATCACACCAACAAGTGGCTGCTGCCCTTTTCTTTCCCCTCATTCTGCCTTGTTCCCGGGATGAGTAACCTTTGAGAATTGAACAAGTCTCCCTACCGGGCCTTAAGCAAACGCTGTGGAATATCCCTCGGAGAACAAGATTTACTTCTTAAAGCATGTTGGGCAATGTTTTGCTTGAACAGAACAGGTTAAAGGTAGGAAAGAACTGCTGTAGCAGTGAAACAACTTGCTGGGTTTCTGCTCCTGCTCCATATCGTATATCCTTGTTGACTACGGGGAAGTATATGAATACAATAAATATTTCTGATACAGCACTCATAAAAAAAGGCTTCAGTTCTGCCCACCTCATTCAGTGCCTCAGGAGTGAGGACTTTATGTCCTTCCAAGCGTTGGACTGCAACTCCAATCTGCCCTATTTCGCATAGCCAATGATGAAGAGATGTAATTCCAACATTTGGAGGGCCAAATGTTCTGTGTCCCTGTTCAACATATATAAAAGCCAAAGACATTCCAAAGGGGAAAAATGAAAGGGTTATCTCCTCCACTACTAATCCTACATAAAACATTTTCAGAGCTTCACATAAATCTGTATGATCCTTTTCAAAACCATGGTGAAAGCTGGGCAGGTATTCCCAGTTTGCCAAAGGTGCCAGGAAGAAAAGAGCTCATGGGAGGTTAAGATCTGACCCAGGCTCTTCCTCTTGGTTGGTAAGGCCAGGCTACCTATCAAGCTAAGGGGTTTTTTTACACGAAGTATTTAACCCAGTGCGTCACAGAGGCAGCAGCTTCTGTTTTTTTAATAGGAGACAACCAACTTCATTTACAGCTTTTTTTCCCCTAGGGTTTTGCTTTCACTATTTTCCTGCATGCTGTATTAAATAACCAGCAGCTAGCTAGTGTTGCAGTATACACTATTACTGAATTAAACTAGCGTTTAATATTTAATATCTCATTCTCTTCACTCTTTAAGTCACATAAATGGTCACAAAATGTGGAGAGAAGTTGGAGGATGACCTGCCCACTTCTATGGCACAGGTACACAGTAAGTGCAGGTAAACCCTAAAATAATACAAGGGGCAGACAGACTGGCTTGACTGTCATTCCATATCTCACAGAGGCAGTCCATGCTACTGTCTTGCAAAAGGAATAGAAGCCAGTCAGGTGATTATTACTCATCTTTCTGTCTTCATGAAGCAGGGACTAGGTTGCTTCTGTCCTAAAAGGTTATTCCAGCCAACTGAAGAAGCAGAGGAAGTAAATGTCACCATCACCTATTCAAATAGGGTTTAAAGTTTGTTTGTTTTTTAAATAGATCCTCTTAGTCACCCTCTTATTGCTTGTGTCATGTCTCAAATTTAGAGCATAAGCCTGAGGGCAGAGACTATCATACTTGTTATCTTCATAGGAGCCTTTTTGACTAATGGGTGAGGTATAAATACTGTGAATAAATCATCTTTCCTTCTCCTTCCCAGTAAGGTCTAGTTTTAGATATATGCAGTAACACATCTAGTTGTTAGGAGCAGAGAACCAAAGCAAGGCAGTTTCATAGGCAAGTTCTACAAAATATACATGAAAACATGTAGCTAGGCCACCTGAATTATCAAGGCTTGACAGCTGAATATTTGAGGCAACAAAAGTCAAAACCGAACACTATCAATAACTGGAAATGTCTGTTCTGAAAGGGGTATGTTTATTTCATTAATGCAACATCACGTTTTACAGGATATGGATATTGTAGACCATCAAGTTAATACTGTTCGTAATGGATATAGTTAAATATTGTGTACCACAAGCAACAATTGGTTACACATTAACAAAGCAATTTGCCACAGGAAACACACTCCATGAAAATATATAGCATTTTTACATAGTTAATAATTTTGACTGTCTACTATTAATTACTTTCAGTAATACACATTTTTAAATCAATCATCCTATGCTTGTAGGCATTTTATTGCAATTTTTATGGTACTTTGTCGCCAGATTTTGTAATCCAGTGAATGTGCTAGGGGCCTGCATTTTAAATATTTCATAGAAAATTGTAATTTATATCAAATATTTAGACAAGGACCACATATCACTGAACTGTAATTTGTACTAACTTTCCAGAACACACTTGCTTTGCTAACATCAGGTTATACCAAAGCACAATCACATAGATGTTAATTATTAGAATGTTAACTAGTTAAGCCACATACTTGAAGCACAAAGGTTATAGTATCAGTGTTGTTTCAAAATATACAAGTACTTAAAAAGCACAATATAGAAGTCACTGTGTTACTTTTCTAGTCAAATGCAGTTGATGTTTATGTACTTTTAGATACAATGATTTATATAAATATGTTGGGTAGTATTAAAGAATGTAGAAATTTAATTTCATTTAGTTGCTCTGCAGAATGCTGAGTTTTACACAGATGTTACAGGAGGAATAAAGTTTGCTAACACAGTCAATGTGAGAGTGGATCGCTAACTGAACATTAAGAACATAAATATTTGGTGAGGCCCTTCACAAAAATGCTCATTCATAAAGTTAAAAAAGCAAGCAATGTAAATAGCTGTCACAGTATGAATAAGAAAAAGGGTTTATGTCTTGCCTAACAAAATACAGTGGGGGGAAAAGTGTGTTTCCTTCAAATGTAGTATGATACCATCATACTACATTTAAATGCCAGTTCTTAAAAACAAAAAATAAACAAACAAAAAGCTATGGGGCAGAACTATTTGCAAGTTAACAAAGCATTGTGCAGTCACATGGCATTAATGTCTAAAACAATACAGAATGGTACTTTTTCATTTGAAGCCAAATTTGAGGTCCAGCATCTATACACAGCAAAGGAGGAAATGAACACAATTGAAATATATGGACTACATGGCTGATTGCTTTTTCACCCACATCTTCATATGTGACTACTAGGTTTTCTTCAGTTATGAGATTCTGCTCTTAAAGTTAAAAAACAATTATTCATTTTTTTCTGAGAAGCTGGAACAGCTGAGTTCTTTAATAGCAGCAGTCTCTAAAGCAGAAATTTAACGAAACTAGTTTTTAAATCAAACCACAAAAATGCTCATTTGTGCAAAATAATACATATGAAGTGGCAGTAAAATATATTATATGCTGTCTACCTTAAAAATGTTTCTTTTGACCCTTATGTGGAATTCATCCTTACAAATCTTCATAAACCTCTAGTATACAATTTATCTCTTCAACATTACCCTTAAACAGTCAGTATTTTAATTAAACTTTGGCAGTTCTTTGGTAAATATTTATAAATATATCTGTTATCAGATACTGGAAGTGACTCTAGGTTCTACCAGCCAGGGTATTTAAAATAGTATTTATGTAAAAATCAGACAATTTTAAGAACTATGTGCATTATCCAGCAAAAATAATTTGTGCATGTTTTATTAAATCAGTGGGAAAGAACACCTAATTTTGTACTTGACATTTGTGGATTAAAATGTAAATTAAATATGCATAATATTCCCTGCATTGTGCCCTATTAGAAGTGACATGAGATCACTTGTGGAACTCGCCTTGTGCAGTACCATACACACACACACACACATATCTTTAAGGTCTGTACATAGTGAATTAATATTAAAGGTTCAGTGCATCTGACCAAATTATTGCACACACAGAATTACACCAATGCCCAATTTTACTGAATATTCTTAGCAAATAAATTAACATCTGTTTTTAAAGAATTTATCTTTCCATAAAATCTTGTGTTGATAAAACTTTAGGTGCTTGAGAAATTAAAGGGTCTGTAGCTGATTTGGTGCTGGCAGACCTGGATGGTACAGGAGGTACAGGTGGGGGTCTTGCTGGTAGTGGCTGAAGAGAATCAGAGCTTCTGTTCCAGCCATTGTAAATGGCAGAGTTGGAACCAAAGATATTTTGTCCAGCACCCAGTGAGCTTGGAAAATAAGTTGTATGCAGAGAACTAGCTCTTTTTAATTCAGCAGAATTGTCCTGTGACTTTAACACAAAATCATCATCTTCAAATGTTACCCAACCTTTTGGTTTTCCATTGATAGCTACAGAAGATACAGTATGCAAATTAAAATCATCTCCAAATGTATTAACATAAAATGCAGCTTTGCCTTTATGATGGCTTGGAGGCTTTAGAGATGGAGAAGAATAAGCAGCAGGTCCTTCTGTTGAACAATGTGAAGTTGCTCCAGATTCTAGAATTTCTGTTCTAAATGGATTTCCAGTAGTAATTGTCTGTTCGGTAAATGGATTTGTGCTGTTTAGTTTGGTAGCGAATGGATTTGCAGAACTACACATTTCTTCTTCAGGTTTACTATAAGTTGAAATAAATGGCATTGCTGGCATGCAATTTATGTTATCCAAAGTATTACAATTATTTGTTGCAGAAGGCAACTTCGTCAGCTTCTTTTGGTTTAAAGGTACAATTGGCGACATTTGGACCGATGGCTGAATCTTGGGTGCAGCAAGCAATGTAAGAGACAGATCTTCAAAAGGATCATTGGTTAGCTGTGTTTCAAGCTGAATGGCATGAACTTCATTTGTTCTAATCTGAAAAGTAAATACAGTGCTCAAACATATCACTTGGCTCCAGAGACAAGTTCTCCATTGTCCATGGCAGAAGCTGTGGATTTGGACTTTACCATTTGTAGCTTGCTTTCTGCTCTTAATAAATTTCTCTCTGATTTCCTTTCTATACAAAATAGTTTTCACAACTCACAGCCTTACCAGTGGCCGAGTATACCCAAATAAGTCTACCACACATTTAACACATCTTCCTATTAACTGATGAAGTTGTAATATTTCAAGCAATCTTCTGAATGGAATGATACATTGCTATGGAGTAAAAGCATTATGATTTACTATTTTAAGCATAATGAACTAAACAGGCCTAAATTATTAAATAAAAATTAAAGGTAGTTATATGTTCACATGCAATAAGGGATGATGTTATTATGAAGCATTTATCACAATGAAAGTATTAGTAACATTCTGCTGTTTTTAACTTTATATTTCTCAATTTTAAGCACATTTTGGACAAAGGATTAATGTGCCTAAATTGTCTGGTTTATGGTTTGGAGTCAAGCCAAAAGATAAAACATTCTATCTGTTGAACTTTCAGATCAACTCTAAGAATATTTAGAAGTATGTCTCACCTATTTCAAGTGAATTAGAGCTGAAGGAGGATGGAGACAAAACACAGGTTTCACTTCCAAGACACAACACAAATATGATACTAGGACAAATAGATTATCAACCTGAGAGGTAAGTAGCTTCAGTACTTAGCCTTGGCTATTTCAGAAGGGTTGAACCCTTCATTGTTAGCCTGGCTGCTGCTCCCAGCATGGGCAAGTAAAGGTGCCCACTCAAATACAGGATTAAGGTGTTCCTCATCTTTGAGATGTAGTCTGAATTTTTCATTTCTTCAAGGAAATAAACACTGTAACATTTCAGTGTTAGTGCCAAAGAACTTAGTGGAGCTTACTTCTGAGTGAATATTTCTACTTCTGTGTAAAAGGGATGTTTATGATTATGGATATTAGACATACCAACCCATTCCCAAGTTTTACATTCAAATCTAAATCTAACTTTTAAATCTGAAAGTCCACGGTATAGTTTGTCTCGTTTCAGAAAAGGCTGCTTTTGTTTAAAGCAATGATCATTGTTGTCATTGTCCAAGTATAACAATGAAGCCTAAAAAGTAACTATAAATCAAATATAGTTTAGCATAAGGCAGTTTACTTGCTGTGTTTATGACGTAATTGAAAATCACCAAGCCTAAAAATACCACCACTTTGTAAATATAATTGACAATGTTTAAGTTACATAGATCTCAGATGCACAATTGCCTTTGCTGTTCAGTGATCCAAGACTATTTTCATATTAGTCCTGATTGGATAGAATATTCATTATTAACATACAAAATTTTCTTGAACTGGTGAAAAAGAAATACCAATTCACTTGAAAAGGATTTGAAACCAGTGTTGTATTTTTCTCCACATCTGTTTTGTTTCTGCAAAGTGGTCTCAACTTGTCAGTGTTGATCAGTGTTAAACAGTTTCAGAAAGATGAATGAATCAAGTACTTTCTACAGCAACAGTTCTCAAAGTGTGAGGCAGGTCTCCTTGGGGAAGTATAAATGGGGCTTCTGACTTGTTGCATAATGTTAACTAAGCTATGGAACAGTACTACCCTCTGTACCCTTCAATCAGGCTTATGCATGTCATTCTCCTGGATTAATTGTGAATGCCAGGTGCAAGATCAAGCAACATTTTTAGTTTTTTTATTTTCAATATTTTTATGGTTCTGCCTTGGTTTCACAAGAGTGCTTGTTAATAACAGATATATTAAAATTGTTATGTTTTGTTCAGGAGAGTCTTACATGATACAGTTTGAGAACTTTTGCTCTACTGGGTCATAATACATCAAGCAGAATAAGGTGCTTTATGTCAACAATATGCTACAAAAATAACAAGGAAACTATGGCATGTCTGCTTATTTATGTAGGCAGGTGATTTCAATGCAAGAGCAGATGTATGAAAGAAAACTTCATACATCCTTTTTGCTGCTGCTTATGGAGAACACAGAATGGATAGAGATAACGTAAGATCAGTAAATATTCAGGTACCTTTTACCCTGATGGTTGATCCTGCTTGTGAGAGAGAGACAGACATCAAAGGGAAAATATTAGGAAGAAATTCAAGGTTAAATCTTCAGAAGTGACTCAGCACTATGTTGGTCCAATGATTTGATTGTTAACTATTACTCCAGTCACTCATACATGCAGAAACATTCTACAGCACTGGCTGGATTGCCTATCACAACAAATAGTTCTTCCTTCTAGCCCTGATATTATAGAGAAAACTGCCTGCAAAGTTACACTCGTGTACAACAGAGACTCTTACATTTTTTTGACTGGTTTCAGATAACACAGCACATTGTATTTACTGAACAATAAAATGCAGTGCATCTATGTCCCAGACTGCATATGCAGCCCCAGTCTGGGGTTGTACCTTGTGAATCCAGCACATACGGGTTATGACAGAGTTGAACTGCCCTCGCCATAACCCATGGTCACCCATGCTCACAATCCCCCACTCCCCTGCAGAGACTGCACATTCAAAAGAGTGACCACAGGTATGCACATGGTAGCCTTGTGCTTTGCAAACAGCCCCTTTGTGACCTCTTCTAAAGAGAAAGGGAGAATATTGTTCAATTAACGTTTTCAGTTTTACAAAATGCAAACATCACAGTGTTTCAAATAACCTTAAAGTTGCCTTACTATGGATTTGTCGAACAAGTCTTTTGCAACTGAAAAAATAATATAATCTTAGTGATCAAGTAACAATTCATAGGACTGCCCTAGCCTCTGAAAAATACATTTTAAATTAGCTCCAGCTGACCTTTAGCCATAGCAGTACAGGAGTCAATATGTTCATGTAAATGACCATCATGTTTCGAAGTCCACACAAAGAAAGTTTGGAAATCTATTGCAGCCACAGATTTAAAGGCTCAGATCATAAGGCTATATTGCCTCCCAAGGCTCAAAAGCTCTCTTTTCAGTATGACTGAAACAAACCTGTACTTTTGACTATATTTTAATATATTCTGCTAATCTGTTCTATACTAGATTGCCAGTGGATGATCTTAGCAGCACTGTTCTAGCTGTGTCCAAAAAACCTCTGCTTCAAATACCTATAGGTATAGCAACCTAAGTGTAGGCAGGACAATATGCTCTGTGGATTTAAATGAATGGTCAGTTGCTTTCAATATATTCAACAGACACTTTAAATACTTTGCAGGAGTTTTCAGTGCAACATACAGAAGGAGTAAGACACGCTGATTGTTTCCATTCATGTATAAAGAGGGTGAGTGATGTGATTATAATAGGAAAACTAAATTTCTAAAAGTACATTTGACAGTATTGAAAGCACAATGAATGTGACATTTGAATATGACACTTCAAGATAAATATTCAGTAAAACATTGAACAGAATCAGCAATGTTTATAGGCTGTGCAAAACTTTCTATTAACACCTTCACAGCACATCTGCTTAAAGTTCTGGAGACTGCTGGCATTAATCACTCCATTGTACAATGACAATGATCAAGCATCTTTCCCTCAGTGATCCCTTTCCACATGGCTCTGTGCACAATGACTTCCTGTCTGTTGTTTTTAGTGCCCCTGCAAACTGCAGAGAATCCCAAAGCATGTTTAACCATACATTCAGTTTGCATGATGGGAGCTAGCGGTGGGTCAATGTAAATGGAAAGTGTTAACACTATCTACACTCCCCATAGTTTTGTGTTGTGAGGTGAGACTGGATACAATGACTTGGTTTGGATGACATAACCTACAATTGATAAATAGTTACAGTTGATTGTCATATTGTCCAAACCCTGCCTGGTTTACCCACAGTGACTTTATTTATTTAAACAAGAAGCCATCCTGAGAACTCATGGACAGTTCTATGTTTAGTTTATTCATGGTGGGTTGCCATGTCATCTTGAATACTAATGTTGGAAGGGCTGTCATTTGTTCGCCACCCCAAGTAAGCACACATTTTTGTTAAGTTTTTTAAAAAAATGTATTTTTCACCTTGTAATTCTCAGTGTGATGCAATTTTTGTGAAATACAGTCCCCTTTAAAAGGGAGTTTGGCAATGGGTGCTTTCTGCCAGAGACATGCAGTTGTATAGCTGTCAAAACTCCTATTTCCCCAGCAAATGAAGTGAGATACATCTTTGCACTTAACTAAGTAGTTAAAGTTCTGAGAGAAGTATACACTATGCATCACACTGAGGATGACAGGGCAAAAAAGAAAACCCCGAGCACCTCACTGCAACAGAGGTGCAAATCCAGTGCTCCTTTCTGTGATCAAAGATACTTGTGATTTTGTTTTCAGTGCTTTTCAGCTGATAACTTGGCAATTCGTTCTTTGCAACTGTGTACTAATTAGCCTATAGGGAGTCTTATCATGTTTATTTTCATGTTCTGTTAGCTGCTCCAGTTTGGTGCTTCCTTTGGTACTTCCTTTGACATACAAGAAAACTGACCAGGCAGGACTTAACAACATCGGAGCATACATGCACAAAACTGACAAAACCAAAACCAAACATAATCATGCAGTTTTCTGAAGCCACTCCTATCCCAATGGTACATTTTTGAAACTCCAATTTAAAAATAAAAAGTAGTGAATGAAAAGTAGTAGTGACTGGAGCAGAGAGAGAAAGCCAAGAAAGACGCTGCTACACCGGGATGATGGCTGAAGGAGCAAGGGGGTGTGGGCAGGAACAAGCCATAGCAAGCCCAATTTTTGAGAGTACTGAGGGTTGTTCAGCAACCAATCAGTCAACTGCTAGTTATTTGCAGAGTGGGCTAGTGTGATGCAAGTATGCTCACTGTCTTTGAAGGAACTTTTTTCCATTTCCAATCTTCTCCCTAAAGAATTATTTAGCACAATGAACGCCAGGGTTCATAGAGATGCAGTATGAAAACTCTTACACAATGTACTTAAAGAGCATTTCAGTGAAACTTGGGATACTTAGGGTCAGACTACGGAATTTGCTACATTGGGATGGTAGCTGGAGAAACTACTTAAGTATGCTTTAAATGATTCCACTTCTTTTTAAACCAAAGAAAACACAGTTGCAGGGTCTCCAGTCAGGACTATGGCATGAGGAGGGGAAGGATGCAATGTACAGAAATATGTATTGAGTAGACTAATGCAAAGCTACATTTACAATCATATTCAGCTGCACTGTATTCTTTATCAACTGCCTTAATATGTTCTCTGTTTTACTCCACATGGACTAGAGATTTAAAAGTAACACAGAACAGTATGTGATAGTTGCTATTTAGCTCATTACATGGAGCTGTATGGATGCAGCACTAGATGGGTTGCACCAAATAATACTGTTAAAAAGTGATTGCATACATACTTGTTTCTGTGAAGAACTGGGTTCAGAAGGCAAACTCTGGGATGACTTGCTACGAGGGGGAGGCTGTGGTGGTGCTTCCAGATTTTGTGAAGACGTAGTTTGAGAAGTTGCCAATATTGGTATAAGAGGTTCCTGCATCTTTAGGACAGAGGACTCCTGAGATGTGGGATGAACTGGAATCGCAGCTTGTGGTTTGAGTGGTTCAGGAAGCATTAGGGATCCTATAAATACATTCGATGTATATTTTTTATGTAGTTTGATTTTCTCAGCACAAACCTTTTTTCTGTGGAGCAACCAGTTTCTGAACCACCAGATGAGAACAGGTAGGAAACATTAGCATCCTTGCAACATAAAAACTATTCATATGAAAATAGACAAGAGTGAATACAGTACGATGGAGTACTTTATGGGCTTGGAACAAAAGAGTTGTTTATACTAACTCAAGTGTTTACACTAGTCTAAGAGGATTTTAGCTTCCCCCACTTCACTTTGAACATATTTAAAACTGTTTCAAAGTTGCTCCTTGAGAATAAAAATCTAAGGTCCCAAAGGACTTATGAAACTAATTTCATAGTTCTTTAGATCCTGATGAGAGATTCTTCACAACCATTCCTGTCTTTGACCACATATGCTATGTACATGCCATGAAACAAGTACTTTTGAATGACACCTGATTATCTCTAAGCAGCACAAATCTGACAGTTTCTGTAAATATGTAAAGTGACCCTTAATCAACATTTCCAAAGCAATCAATAGCAAACTTTCCACTGGGTTTCATGGTTTTGAATATCATCTTTTGAGAAAGTACTGGGGAGACATTCAAGGCATTATAAAGTATCTTTTATATAAAATAAGTATTACTTAAAATGCTGAGTGTATTAAAAGAATCATCATAAGGATGATATTTCTAAGTGATCCACATCATTATAGTTACTTTTTGGTATACTTTCAAAAGAGATGCATATCAGTGTCTAAAGAACAGCAATTCTAATGAATATATGAATATGGATGTTCTCTTGCTGTATTTTTAAATGTGAAAACACTCCAGAAGTGGCCACAAAAATTCTAAAATATTTTTCATAGCAGACCTTGTAGGTCTATAATTGAGTCTTTAGATTTTGTTTTCCAAATTAATGCAAGAAATAGCTTCCTCGCAGCATATAACATTTATAGTTGGATTAAAGTTATTAATGAAACAAGCAGGACATTATTCACAAAATAGATTCTATGAAACTGAGAATGGAGTGAGATTATCAAATGTAGATTTCTCCTTTAAGCTACAGATTAAAACAGCCTTTTTCAATTGGGGTTCCCCAGAACCCTAGGGTTCTGCAAAAAGTTGCTGGAGGTTCCACGAAAGATTGTGGAGCGGAGAAAAAGACATCATTGTTTTCATATGCACATATGAATTACCTAAGAGCCCTTCTGCTCATGCCAGTTGCAGGAGAAGAGGAGGAGGCCTAAGAAGAGTCCCCATCCATGAGGGAAGAAGCTAGGAATGGAAGCATGTCTGCCTCAGGCTCATGGGGAGTGGTGCAGCAGTGATTCTTTGTGCCTGGCATTAAATGGCTGGCAACAGCACTTATTTCACATCTTATCTTGCATACAACCTCCATGATGGCAGATGCAGATGGGTACTGGACACTGAACAGGGCTTGGATGAACCCTTTCAGAATCCATTCCTCCAGTGTCCATTAACTTCCTCTCCAGCTCAGTCACTTGCAAAGTGAGCCAAGCCAAAAAGATGTCTGCAAATGCTTGTGAATCCCCAGCTGTGCAACCTGCAACCATCCCCATCCCATGTAGCCACCCAGTGACTGTATGTGCATGAGGTGCTCTGTGAGCAGCCATACCAGACAACATTCCTAGGAACCCACATTCTTCTCCTCTACCCCTTAGTGCAGCTGGCAGATTTCCTGGAATATGAATTTTTTTCAAGGGTTCCATCAAGGTAAAAAGGTTGAGAAAGGCTGGATTAAAACATTAGAAAGGAAAAACACTGACAAACTTTACCTCTTGGTGGGTCTGCTTGTTTGGGCTGGAGTTCAGGTGTGCATCTTCCCACCTGAGGACGGGCATGGCTTAGTGGTACACTAATGACTCCAGCTCTGGGAGGAATTGTCTAAAATATATCAATACATGTATGGGTATCATTTGGAAACTTCTGTGATACTCTATGAGTAAAAGATACATAACAACCTGGAACCCCTTAAGCTATTATGCAGTTTTCCAGCTATTAGCAACATTTCAAACCCTTATCTTTATAGAAGAATGTATAGGTTTATAGGTCACAATTTATAGGTCTCATAGCTAGAGAGAAAAAATGAATAAACAATGGTAGACATTTATCATAGAATTTCCAATACCAATTTGTATTCCCTCAATTTTCAAATATAAAACATATAAAAAGCCTGGCAGGCTTTTGTTCTGTTTTCAGAAAACGTGTGTGGTTGCCAGGATGCTAAAATGTGAAACCATTTTACTGCAATACTTGTGAAGCAGACGATATATTTGAACTCACCACAAACTGCTGCATCAAAGCAACAGGTATAATGTAATATGGTAAAATATGCCTGCTAGTTCTACTAAGCATTAATCAGTTCTGAATACATCAGGGATTCCATCCTGAAGGACAATTATTCTTTGTTTTCTGTCCCATCTCATAGAGCTGGAATAGGTACCAGTACTAAAATAATCAACAACACTGAGTAACATTACCAATCCACGGGATTTCACCTTTTTTCCAGCTTTATCCGAAACATTTGCTCAAACATGCTGAGTTCTCCACTTTCCATTTTTCAACAGCAATGGTTTCAACAGTTTCCTAAGTACGAACAGGAATCCATTCCCAGATGTGAGTATGAAAGCACCTTTGTTGTTCACGTGTCTGTCTCATCTATCTGAGTCATATGTGGAAGTCTACTTCTTTCAGAAGGGTACTTTTCCATGATCCCTAGTGTATCTCACAGACTGAAACTGAAAGTCAGCCAAGCTAGGAGAAATTGACTGGGCTGATGGACTGCAGAAATGGTTTGGTTTCCTTTGTGCGTGCACAAAGGGAGAGAGACTTTAATGTTAAAACTAGACTCACATGGGCATGATTAGGACATGACAAAAAAGTGTATTTCCTCATCATATTTAATTTAGACATTAGTGCCTTTTTTGATTGAACCTGCTATGTAGATGGTTAGAAATGTTTTAATAAAATACATGTGGATTGTGGATTATTATTTTATCTTTTTCAATTATTACCACTGCTCTGAATTCTGCCCAGGGTAGAACATGAGCCAGTGCAAACCTTTGAGCACTGCTCTAATATAGTCATTTTAGAAGGTATGCAAAAGAGCTGCCAATATTTGATTAGGTACTTTTAATGTTTTGCAAGTCTTATGACAAATATACCAAATGATATATTGTCTTCATAAGCAAAGTCTTGCAGTTGAATGGAAAGCAAAAAATGCATGAATATTTAGGAAGTAGTAACTATGTAGAAAAAGATAAATCCTAAATATTTGTTTTACCATTCAAATTAAATGATAAAACAGAAGACTTTGACAAATATTAGACAGATATTAGAAGACTTTGACCAATATCCCTAAACCTGAAAACTTTTTTTCAAAATTTCACACAATTAAGTTTTGTCATGGTCTTTTATCAGAACCTTGGAGGAAAATAACCAATATTCTTCAAGATGCATTACCACAAAATTTGATCACTTACTGGTCTACATGAACTGTATCCAGATGTTCCTATGCCTGTTAGTCCAGTTGGAGGGGGTGACTGACTATGAACTACAGAAACAAGAATTTGTGACTAAATTAGAACACAATTCAAAGTTGACGTTTTGAGTAATTCAATAAATATTTAATATTAATATATAGTACCTATGTCTCTTCTTTGTGGCCCAGGGCTTTTCTGAGCTTTGATACATGAACAACAACAACAATCAATCAATCAATCAATCAATCTGTATTATAGGTCATTTAAGTTTTTAAATAGATAACTGAAGTTTAGAAAAAAAGTTGGAAGCATCCTAATGCTGAATGTCTAGACAATTATATATTCCTGTATCTGAAACACTGAATATAATTAAAATAAGCCACAGTGATTTATGAAGGTTTATTTAGATTGCACTGCATATACAAGCACAATTTCCAGAATTGCCACTTGGGCATGGTTTGTCATGTTGTCTGAACTTGGGCAGTATGGCTTGTTGGAAAGGACAACAACACTCCAAAACTCCACTGACTGTTCTATAGTTATTGTTTTGATATTCTGACATACCAGTTGTATCTTTTATTCTAAGCACTGACAAGCCAGCATGGCATGCCCCCCAAATATGAGATTCTCTTAACTGCAAGGTATTTTGTCAATAAGTCTTATTAGCTATTATCTCCACAATGCTAATTTGGAAAATAGTTTGTCAGTTAATTCTAGTAAAATGCATTTTAACCCTCAAATAAGCTGAATTTCCTACAGTGAAGTTTGCAAAGGGATCAGTGTGACATTTCAGTTCCTACTCTAATTATGCAGTTTTCTATTTGCCAACAGAATGAGTACACTCTTAGTAGAAAATATGGGTCTAAAATATCTTCACAAGTTCATTGTGAAAACACTTGTTGGACCAAAAAGTGTTTCATTCTCAGTTTCTCTTCAAAATACTACCAAAAAGTAGTTTATATATTTTTATAAATATAAAAACATTTATACATTTTTAACTGGAAAATTCTATGAAAACACACACAAAAAACCCATGTAATATATTTGTGGCTCAGAATATGTATTTTTCAAGTATCCCTTGATTTATTAATTCCTCTTAATTCCGCTTACATTTGTTAAGACTGTATAATCAGAAAATGTGAATATTGAAAATTATGAAGTACACTGAGCAGCTTAAAAAATTGCTAACATGGATGAAGGTTGGTACAGAACTATGCATAAGTACGTGCATTCAACTTTTAAAATCCAGTGTGAAATTAGGAAAAATAGTTACCTTCTTCTTTCCTAGCTACAACAGGGCTGGGAGGAGCACCAAGACCTTATCAGAGAAAAGCAGAAAAGCAGTGTGTACTGTATAGGGAATGCAGCAGATTAAGAAAGAGTAGGAATAAACAGCTGTGCAAGACTTTCATTTTGAATAAGAAGTCAAATTGCATTGTACATTAATGCAATGTGAAAACAGAAAAGCAAGCTGCAAGTTCACATTCAGTAAGATTAAAGAGCATTTTTTTCCCTTTTGAGTGAATGCACTGAATTCATTTCATTAAAAAGTAAAACTACATTTTAAAGAATTTATATTTCTTGGTCAAGATCTATAGTTTCCAATTATGATGCAAAGTCCAGTGTGTCTTCTGATGAACACATACAATTACCACAAAAAAACAGTCACAAAAGCAACTCTTGAATGAGTCCTTTCAATGCAGGCATAGTAATACTTGTCCACAGAAACATTTCCCAAAACCATGCAATCACTGTTTTAGCAGAACCTTTGCTAAGAGTCTTCAAATTCCTCAAGTATATTGATGTTCAATTTGTTGTACAAGTAGAACATGCAACAGAAAGCTAGCTGGACTAAAAGCGATCTCAGACACAAGCAAAAACATTTGTTTCTGGATCAAGACAGGTCTTTCTGCAAGCCTCACTGACCTGCCCTATTTCCAAAATGATAATTTCTGTTTATCTCCAGCTGCTCCTGGAACTACTAGCATTTTGTTGCACTAGTGGTAAGTCCTGGTACACAGTAAGGATATTATTATTACTATTACACTGCATGTATATCCCACCATTTTTCTTCCTCTGACAAACCCAAGGTAGCTTACATAGCTCCATTTTATTCTCCCAACAATAACCCTGTGAGGTAGGTTGAGCTGAGAGTCTGTGACAAGCCCAAAGTCACCCAGTGAGCTTCATGACAAAGTGGGAACCATATTCCAGATTTCCCAGGTCCCCAGTCCAGTAGTCTAACCACCACAGTACACTGGCTATCCCACCCTCTTGTACATCAAGCCTACCATTAAGTATTTGTCTTCCACTTGACAGAAGACCTGTGGCTTGGACCCAAAAGTACTCTGCACAAGTAGAAAGCTATTTTCACTAGTGAAATTGGGATCACCTTTACACTGATTGATTTCTCCTTCTGGCCATTGCCCCTAGTGCCACTTCCCATGCATTTCAGAAGACTCCCAACTCTCTTCTGAACATATTTGCAAGAAGTGGAGGGGACAGGGAGCTGCAGAAGGAAGGAAACTGTGAGACAGCACTATGCCAGGCTACTCTAGTCTGTTGCCCTCCAGATGCATTAAACTACAATTCCCATAATTCTGGCTGGAGGTTATGGGAAATTTAAACCAGTGCATCCAGAAGGTAGCCGGCTGAGGAAAGCTTCCCTATCCTGTGTTCTGTGTGTGTTCATGACCTAGTTCACATATAAAGAGAAGTCCTGTGGGGATATTTCCCTGCAGATCCTCCTATTGTGGCAGCTGCCATTTTGAATATTCAAGCTATGACAGGAGCACACCATCACTTGTTTCATGTATGAACTTGACGAAGATGGGCTGTTAGGGTGCTTGACAAGCTATCTAGAACTCAAGGGCTCTTTTTTGGTTTGCAGGTTTTCACGCACTTCAACAATGCACCCTTACTGGGTTTGCACATGTTTTGAATAAATAGTCGAAATAGCAACCACTGCTCCAATGCAAAATGCCCCTGTGCTGGCTGCATATTATGTGTGAACCCAGTCTGTGTATGAGAAACAGAACATACATAGTTTTGTTTATAAAGAAACAGTTATATTTTAAACAAACAAATTTATAATATATATATTGTATGTTTAATACTTTTTGTTCACTGCTTTGGACATTCTTTTTAAGCAGAAAAGTAGGTAAGTATTTTAAAATAAAACAAATATATTAAAATGAATATAAGGGCAATGGGATCAATAACTAACTTGAGGGTCAAGGGCTTCTGAAAGATTTTACCACCTCCCATCTAGCCAGAATTTGTCTGTCAACTCTGTTGAGTCACTTCCATGATATTATAGTTATTCTGAAGGCATTGGCAGAATATTAATGGATATTTCTCTTTTTCTGCTTAGAAGGTATTTTTTATCTTCTGTGCTAATTGCCCTGAGTATGTAATTTGGATATACTCATGTACCACCCACATAATCTCAGTTACAAATTATTCATATTTACTTCAACACCACCTCTAAGACTGAGGCAGCAAGCAGTGTGTTTGTATTTAACGAATATATTGTTATACATATGTCAACTGGCATAAATATTTCGCTCATTATTTTATTTGAGTCATATTTGAACAAATATTACCTCCAAATTCTTTTCTAGCAGGTGCAGGGCTCTTACCCCCTTAAGAGTAAGAAAGGCATGCAGCAGTAAAGAAAGAGTCAATTGAAAGAAATATTAGGAATAAATCAAGAACAATAAATTAATTGCCCATTCTTTTTTATTTCCTGAGGGCTTCATACACTTAGTAATTAACCATAAATAGCACAACAACTATGTCTATCAAAATGATTTTAACAGGTTGTTTTAACAACAAAACATAGCATAATAGAAAGGTAACTGCAGCAGTGGTTGAACAATATACTAAATCATAGATCAGTGTGACAAGAAAAGCCTATGTCATGTGTTTCCCTTCTCTGTTCCTCCTCAGCTGTCGCCAGGTAGAGTTTGGAAGCTTTTGTTTTCATGTTTGCATTAGCGCTGCTTAGCCACAGCATGTTATGCTGTTTGAATCAACAATATGTGGCTTATGTTAACTATGGCTTGATTGCAACATGCCAACTTGAAATCAGTAAGTTGTGCTTAAGCAAAAAACCCCCTTCACTTTTCCATACAGCCATTTCAGAGGAAGAGAATAGAAAATGCAAGCCTGTGGCTTGCCCAAGCTAATTTTTGTTCTGCTAAACTAGGGGAATGGATTCTAGGTCCCCATCCCTAGCTGATATTGGATTCAAAGTACCACTTGCCCCAGGCAATACCGGCAGTGGTCAAGGATGATGGAAACTGCAGTTCAACATCATATGGAGGGCCACAGGTTGTGTTCAGTGCAACATATGAATGTGGGGAATATCAAAACATCTAATTAAGTTAGCTTACCAGAAATCTCAAGGTCATGCTTTCCATGCTTTGCTGCCTTACCTGATGGTGGAGGAGGTCTTTGTGGTGGAGCAGGACGGGCAGGAGGTGCTCCTGGGCGAGGTGGAGGTGGCCGTTTGGGTTCCAAACTTTGAGCATACTCTCTTTGTTGAGTAATTGTCTGAAAATCTACTGGAGAACCTGACAATAGTAATTTATAGTTATTTCTAAAACCAAAAATATTCTTATATTCATTTAAATATGGAACATTTTTTTTCAAATTACATTATTCAAAACTGCTCACAGAACACAAATGTATTACAGAAAAACATCTAAATTCATTCATTTCTAACACATTTAACAGTAAATACTATTATATACTTTGAAATACCTATATACAGTATATACTATATATACTTTGAATACCTTGCACAACTGAAAGTCATAAAGGACCTTTAAAAGCCTATCATAACTAGAATGCCTTTTAAGTAGTACCTAAATACTGACACCCTAAAACAAATGGATTTTGCTAGCTCAATTCTTCCAGACCTTGAGAATCCTTACAAAATAATTAGCGACACTTTGTATTTTTGCTCCCATTTGTATTTCTTTGTAATACACTGTTTGGTGTACTTGTGCAAATTATCTGATTCTTCTAAAACAACTGAGCATTGTTCAAACTGTTTTCATGCTTCCACTCTTCCAACAAAAATATGTTTTTTATATTTTTGTACAAAAGTTGCCACAATATCTCTTTTGCTAGATATAACTGTGCCTGTGTGTATGTATAAACATGTACAAATAAATTATACAAATGTATAATTTGTACATGTACATGTACAAATAAATTATATCTAGCAAATTATATATCTAGCAAGTTATATCTAGCAAATAAATTGTACATGTTTATTTATGATGGCCATAATGAGGCAACTAGCAAAAATGCAGTACCATATGTAGAATAAAATTTGTGAAGATATGATAAAACCTTGAGAAGATAAAGGTGGTCCCGGAGTCTTGTTAGGGGCTCTGCTTGGTCTTGATGGAAGAGCCGGAGGTGGCCCATCTGAGGGTGTAGGTGACTGACAGGGGCTTGAGCGAGGTGAAGAGCCAGGTGATGCTCCAAGACCAGAGCCTGGTACTGGGTGAACTTGCAAAGGAAAAATTTCTTCTTCTTCAGGGCTTCGATCGTCAATATCATCTTGAAATGAAATGAAATAACATATTCTTAACTACCATGAAACTGTTAATCAAGACACTTAATATGGCAAGAGGCTTTAGATAATTAATACAATATGGCAAGAGAGTTTAAAATAAAAACTATTACAAAGAGCTACATAATCTTGATAATCAAACTTCAATAATATAGGTATAACCAAGAATCTAGCCATTTGTAAGCAGGAGTTGTTTTCAACTTTAGGCATTTGAAAATTTCAGTTCTTTAAACACATTTTAGATTATATGTGCCAAATGAGAGCTAATCAAAATTCAACCAAGTGGGTCCACAGACTAAAAATGCTAGATGCATATAGTATCAATATGTAAAGATAATTATAGAATCCATTTCTGTAAATAAGCAGATTTAGAAGCTATGAGATTACAAACCACACTCAGGAACCATGATACTAGATTGTGTATTTTCTGAATTTGCTTATTTAATTTTATATCTATTTACTGGAACAAAAATAGATGTAAACTAAGTCGTGCTGCATTTAAGCAATATGCAATTCAAGCAGTTCAGGACAACCTCCAATGAACAGATACAAGTCTAAGTTTAGCAAACCTTCATAGTCTGCAGAGACCTGTGCATCTTCACAAAGCAAAGTTGAACTTGTTGATGAAGGCAATCCAAAATTAACTCTCTCCAGACTAATTTCTTCTTCCAAACTCTTAATCCAATCTGGGCTTTTCAAATTAATATTGATAGTTTTCCCAAGGAGCTGAATTAAGAAGACTTATATCAACTTTTCAGAGGTAACAGTTTACATAGGAGGCAATGAAGCATGGTGGTTAAGAGTATTGGACTGGGGATTTGGGAGATCTAAGTTCTAGTCCCCACATGGCTATAAACTTCACTGGGTGACTTTGGGCCAGTTACTCACTTTCAGCCTAACGCATATGGCTTCTGTTGTGAAGATGGAGCTATCCTCACAAGAGGAAAAAGGAGAAATAAATGCAATGTAGTAGTAGTAGTAGTAGTAGTAGTAGTAGTAATTCCTTAAACTATCTATTTATCTATGTAAACAAACAGAAGTAGAAGCAAACACCTTACAGAACAAAGAGAGAGACTAACCATGGTCAATACCTTGACACTAGCCTGTCATCAGCAAACCACCCTGATGTGGGATATAAATGATACTTACTCTAGAAACAGGATGGAAATACACAGAAGAAATTCTTGAGATTAACCAACTGCATATGTTAAAAAGGAACTTAAAAAAAATCAACCTCAAGCAGCCCTGTGAGTTTCCAAAAGCTATGGAATGTTAAGGACATAGAGTTAAGAAAATACTATAAGGCTATGAGAGAGGTTCACATTTAACATCTAATTGTTAAGAGAGGTTTAAATCAAGCTCCAAAGACAGGTATTGTCACTCCTACTTTCTGTTTGATCACTGGTGGATGGGTGGTGAAACAGGCAACACACTGTTACCCAATCATAGTTACGCTAAAATGCTGGACTTTAAAAGCTGTTAGGTGCTTTCACTTCTATCCAGGGTAAAACAAAAACAAAAACCACTAGGGTAAGGAAAAAAACCCACCTTGGCCTAAACCAAATTTAGGGAATTTGTGGCCTTCCAAATGTTCAAATCCCATCAGCCCTGGCCGCACTGCAAATGATAAATGATGGTGGTAGTTCTAAGTTAAAATTTGGAGGGCCACACATTGCCCATCCCTGGACCAAAGGGTCTGGAACTTAGATAGACTGTACATGCCTAGTAACCAAATCTATGGCTGATTGCAGTTGAGTCAAGGAATATAAAAAGGTGAAAACACACACAGTCACCCCACAAAATAAAAGGAAAACCAGAGGAATTGGACCTGCCTGAGTTATTTTAGCAGCTTATAGTATCCTGGAACTAAGCAAAAGGTTGCCCTCCAACAAGCCCCAAAAAGTGCTTGTTTCAGGCTTGCTAGAGTTCTGCATTGGAGCACACGTGCTGGGAGGGCCAATGGTGTATTGCAACATTTAGCTGCAGAAATCCACGTGTCCTGATACACTGTTGAAACAGGATCCACTGGGAGGTTTCTCTATCTTTGGTAGCCCTCAGCATAAAGTTAACTCTGCATTCACAAACTGTGCAAGAATGAGGAAAATTGGAAATCTATCCCCCATGAAGAAAGAATATAATTCTGCCATGATCAAAGCATTTTTAAAGAACTAGTACTTTTCAAGCTACATTTACATTTAGAAATGTGTGTTACCTCAACACCATTTAGGTTTAGAACATTCAAAGCAGAGCTCCCTTCCAAAAATGTCACCCACATTTTGTCTTCAACAAATCTGTAAAATATATCAAGAGACACATTACAAAACATTTATACCATTAACAGAAAACACCAGCTCACCTCTATTTTGTTTCCAAGCTTTTAGTATGGTCTCAATGTCTCCAATTTTTCTATAAATCTTACTGAATGAAGGATGCCTACCGATAACAAGGGTGTGTTTGCAAGGCTGCTCATTACACCCTACTGACCTGGATATGATAGCATCTTCTGGTAAGGCAGTTCTTAAGATAAACAAAAATCAATGTTCTAGTATCTTAATGCAATCAGGGCATCTTGCCACTCATTAACTGGTTATTGAGAGCCCTGACTTAATGTGACCTCCCAAATGGTACTGAAATACCCATGCATTCAGACCCTGGACTCCTGAACAGTGATATTCATAGCTTGCTGTCATTACTGTGTCTCATGGAGTGCACTGTTATTCAAGAGAGATGTCTTGTTGGACCCTGTGCTTCCACAATCTTTTCCTCATTGAGATTCTGCTGTACCCTTCTCTTGATTTTTATCCAGTATTACCTTTGCCAAGGGGCTACCAAGTAAGCGCCATACAACCTCAAAGTTTCCAAGGGCACCTGAGACAGCTCACATAGGCTTCCCCTGTTCCCCATAAGCCTTTATGGGCTTTCTTTGGGTTTTCCCCCCATTTTAATTTGTGGGGAAGTTGTGAAAGGCAGCCATCAAGCTACCTTTTGCAATGTCTGTTTGAGCAGCCGGAAGTAGTCGCTTTAGGAAACTCCACTTGACCCTGAAGGGACTGCCCAGCCTTTCTTTTTTAAAAATTTTCATCCTATTGGAACAAATACAGTAACACAAATGACTAGATTTCAAGCCTTAGCTGGGGCAATGTCAAGGGGCAGCCGGTTCCCACCCTGGACATTGCCCCACCTAAAGCTTGAGATGCTTTCCCCACTCCACACTTGTTTTCAGCAATCTGTCAAGGAAAATCCAAGCAGAAAGGGATCTGGTGCTGAGAAGGGAGTGTTTGTGTATTGGGCAGTATAGTGATTCTGGTGGTGCTGGTGCTGCTGCTGCTGGTGGTGGTATCCCCTTCTCAACAAGTTCTTCAACCTTTCCTGTTCCTCCCCTTTAATCTCCATGGAGAAGCAAATTTTGGTTTATGTCCAAAGAGTCTAATACATCAGGAAAAGCTAAATGTGCACCTATCCTCCTTTTAAAAAAGGAATCTGAATTTGTCAGTTGCCTGCCAAAACTTAAGGACCCTTTGAAAAAGGAAGATTGTGTGAGAAGTGGGTAGATCTTAGCCTGGGTCTCAGGCTTCTAAGCACTCACTGGCTCAAAGGCCCAGCTAAAAGTGCTGCTCCATCCCTGCTTGCAATCATTATCTTTGCTGCAGGTAGAAGTATATTCAGCTGGAGTTACTCAAAAGGAGGCCAAGGCGGTTGAACACAGTGCTGCCATCTGCAGTTCCCTGCATCAGGTTGGTACAGCATTTGCAGCTGCCATACCAGCCAGGGGCGGGCGGGCAGGGGGGGAACCAGGGTTTGCCACACACCCCTTCACAAGTCCTGAATGGATTGACCAGCCACTTGCCCCACATGTCTCCTTCTTGGAAAGAAGAAAGTACACAGGTCAGACGGGGACCTGGAGTAAACACCTCCTCTCCCCATAACTGGCCAGTGCAATTATGAGGTGATCACACTGGTGTGTGTGGGGCAGACAAGTAGCTTTCCCATGGGTAGGGGACACATGAATCAGCTGGTGCTGACCTCAGAATGCTTTTTTGCTACTCTGGCCAAGAGGATTTGTAGCCTTTTTGCTTGACTGTGGCTTGACATATCATCCAGGTTCAGACAACACATTAAGCCACATTGGTTCCCAATGGCTACTTGCAGTGGTTTATAAGCCAGTGCGGGATAGCTTATAAAGCATCCCCAGGAAACAGGGAGGTTGAGATAACATGTTAAGCTACTCTCCCTGGTGGAAAGAGTGTGTCTTGAAAACCCAGTCTCTGTCTCTCTTTGGCTCCTTTTTCTCTCTTATTTTTCCATCTTGTCTCCGCTCCCCAACTGCCTCTCCTTCCTCTCTTTGTCTGGCTCCTTTTTCTTTCTCTGATTCAGTTCTGACTGGGAGGCATATAATTGTAGCAGTGGACCAAATGTGCCATGGTTCCTTGAGGGTTAATAAACCCACAACTGGGTGTCATATCATTTGAACCAGGTCACTCTTTCTCTCTCTGATTTCTCTTCCTTCCCAAACTCTCTCTCCTTGGGTCCCTCTCTATCTCCTTGCTTTCTCTCTTTCTCTCCCCCTCTCCCAGTGTAGCTGAATGAAACAATTTCATTAATTCATTTGCATGGGGTGAGGAACCCCTCCAAACAAAATCAGACGGAGAGGTGGTTCAGTCTAACAAGGACTGCTGCCCCAAGGCTCCCAGGTGGGGGTGCACCTTTTTTGGTAGAAGACTTTTTTGCCTCTTCTATAAACCTATGAGGAATATCTCCATAGAAAGCAAAGAATAGCTTCGTGGGTACCTCTACTTGGCCTTGTGGGCAGAGTTGTACCTGCAGACTGTGTGTTGGAGACCCCAACTTAATATTATACGTGGCCCTTAAGCATAGAAGGACGCTTTCATTTGAAAAACAGGACAAATGTCAATTCAGAAAATTAACATGTATAGGAAATGTGGTTTCCTTAGAATGAAATTGCTCTAACCTTATGAGTATAACTTCACCATAATCTGCAAACTTTTGAAGAAGCTCATCAATCAAACTGTCATCAAAATAGTTCTCTTCAGGTGATGATCCTTTGACTGAGATCATTATGGTACCATCAGGAGGTCCCTGCACTGCAATTACTTCCTTGTAAATGTTGTGTCGCACTTCTGCATCAACTTCAAAAATATCTATATCAACCAGTGCAACAACAGGCCTGAAAAAGTATCAGTAAAAGTTACAAAGCATTTAATAGCTGAGAAAAAACATGGAATTTTTTCAAAAGATTGTAACAAAGTCCAAGTTCAAACCTATGATCAGATGTTTTCAGCTCTGCCCTTCCATAATACAACAAAGTTCCAGGATTCCAGGTATAAATGAGTTTACTTTCATCATGAAAACTGGAATTCAAAAGATCCATATCTTCTGCTAAAATATCATATATGAAACTGTATGAATATTGTACATATATACAGTTGTAAATTTATAATGAGAAAAAGGAACCTGCCTGGAAGGAGATTCCTATTTCCTTTTTGTATTAGATATACCTAGCTGAGTACAAAATACATAAACATTTCATTAAAAGAAAAGAAGGCACATAAGATTAGCCATACATCTTTTTAAAGTTGGAGTGAAGAGAAAGATTTCAACTTTACTTTGAATTTTTAAAGGAAGTATTCTAAATAATTGTCCAAGTATATACAGTGAACACATATTTTGTATTTCATACTTAGCATTTATATAGCACATTTCTACTTTTTAAATTACTTTAAATACATTCATTTGGGGACTTTTATTCATGAAGGCTACAAATTCTACAAACATGTTGAGACTTTCTGTAGCCCTCCTGTAAAATACTACTAAGCATTTTACAGGAGTCACAAACTAGATATCCCAATAACCTAAAAGAAATATTCCATACAAAGTATTATACTATCCTATCAGATTTATACTATTTGCACTGATAAATTTCAATTATCTAACCTGATCGATCAAAAGGCCATTTTCTTCTCCTCCACAGTACACGATCTGTCCAGGCTGGTGTACGACATTTTTCACTGGTATCATAGTCATCCGAAAATAAATCATATTTGTATGTTGGGGCAAAGGCTATTTTTCCTTCTAAAAAGCCTCTAAATATCTGTAGGAAAGAAACTAGAACATCAGGCAAACTGCAATGTTACACTCCCTGGCGATAGCAGCATCACCAGAGTGGGTGCTTGTGTTTGCTGAATGGTTTCCAAATATTCTGCATTATCTGAATCCAGTGAGTGCAAGTTGTTAGCATGGATAACAAAGTACACAGAACTTTGGGATGTGGACAGCAAGAAGTGATGCCCATTTGGGCAAAAAGTCAGCTCATCCAGGGAAATCAGAGCCCTTGTATGTTTATTTTAGCAAGAACTGAAGGACAGTAAGATGGTGGGACAGTGGGCTTTTGAGAGACTCAGGGTTCTAAATGAAATATTTGGGGCTCTAGCCCTAGTGGGATACCCCTTAACACAGCCTCTAGCTTCTAGCTAGTCAGTCAAAACCAGGCCTACATAGAACACAACAGTGTAATCCACCATGGAGTTCATGAAGTCATGAGTGAGGTCTATGCTATAAAAATCTAATATAAAAGATTCCAGCCTTCTTGGTGAAAGACAATCCACATCTCCAATCTGGAACCCCAGTAATGTGTCTGATCTAGAAGCAACACAGTTCTGCAACCAGAGAGGACTACAACCTGTCGATAAAAGCAGTTCCAACATACTCAGCTCTGCTTCAGCTGGTAAATCACTGGTTTGGCTGTACTTCTTCAGACTGTACAATGGGTGGCTCTCATTTCAATGTTCTTTCACACCAAATAAACAAAACAAAACAATTCCATTTATTAAAAAAGAGAATAAGGGAGAAGAGTTCTGTCCTAGCTATCTCAGCTTCAGCAAAATGCTAGCTTTTTATGCACAAGGAAAATTTGGTTAGTGACGGTTACGAATCAAACTAGACAGGGCAGGGCAGTCACAAGTATTTATTAATGTGATTATCAATTAATTATTAATAATTATCCATTCAGTATAAAGCAGAGTGGTAATATCAGTGCGTGTGCTTCTAGGACCTCCTCACCAGGAATAAGTGGAATAAAACCATTTGAGAGACTCCCAATGAATGGGAAGGTCAATTTATGAGTATATAACTCTCAACTATAAATAGGTAACAGACAAAAAATGAACACATCTGAAAGGAAACTGAAATGTTACCTGCCCAGCATTTTTTTGATTAATAAGTTGATCTCCTGCAATAAGAGCATCCCAATTCTGCTGCCGAATTAATTCTTTTACTTCCTCATTAGGAAGATCTATACGATAATTAAAATCACCACACCAGAATACGTAGTCATGGGAAAAAAGCAATCTTCCCTGAAATAAAAAGAATGTAACTAAAATCAAGATTGAACCCATGTTACATCTCATTAAAATCATGCAAGAACATGTGTGTTTACAATTTTGTAAAAATGAATAAAGTTCATCTTTTATTAGTCTCCACCTGAATGGCCAGATATCCTGCCCTTCCTCTTAAAAAACTCAGGGTAGTATACATAGTACTCCATTTGTACTCAAAACCCAGTGAGATAGGCAGGCTGAAAAAGAGTGATTTGCACTATCCTTTTTCACAGTGAAGGAGAACATTAATTTAACATTATCAATATTAAACCAACTCTGAATTAAAATGTGCTGTTACTCCCTCCCTGACTTATCAAGTTGTAAGAAAAAGTGCAATTATGGAATAGAACAATACTGTGAATTAGCTTGTGCTAAAAATAAAGTCAACTGTGTCTGAGGACATTGCAAAGTTGTATTTTGATTTCAGGAACTAAAAGGTTATGTGTACGATAAAACTATTTTTATAGAGCATTGAACTACACCAGCGGATTGAAAGTGATCAGTCTTAACAATGATAAAATATATGAAGATTAAGATTGAGTCCTTTCTAGGCAAAATTTCTTAGCTTGCTTCTTGTAACATGCAAGGTCTGTTTACAATAAATTTACTTGATTATAAATAAATATTGGGTAAAGATGATGGAGAGAAATGAAATACTGTGGAAAAGGTACAGATGAGATAATTGAGTTTTTTGAGAATAAGATTTCAAAACACATGAGTCTCCTTTTTTAGGTCATGGTCAAATGTTGATCACAGCAGGAACAAATAATTTTTGGTATTGAATACAGTATATCACAGAAGTGAGTACACCCCTCACATTTTGCAAATATTTTATTATATCTTTTCATGTGACAACCCTGAAGAAATGACACTTTGCAACAATGTAAAGTAGTGAGTATACCGCTTGTTTAACATTGTAAATTTGCTGTCCCCTCAAAGTAACTCAACACACAGCCATCAATGTCTAAACCACTGGCAACAAAAGTGAGTACCCCCCCTAAGTGTACACTGTTATACAAGCTGTATACTCACTACTTTACATTGTAGCAAAGTGTCATTTCTTCAGGGTTGTCACACAAAAAGAAATAATATTTACAAAATGTGAGGGTGTACTCACTTCTGTGATATACTGTATGAGTAAAGAAATGGATTACATTTAAATAATTTGCATGGTTATTAGTTTCATTTCCCTATGCAAGATAGGGTTCCTTTGTTAAAGTTTCATACACAATGCCCCCCTTTGATTGTTGTATAAGATGTCATTTCATGCACCTCAAAAATGAATAAATTTTATATTTATTAAAATAATTTTAGGAATTACACTAGCTAGGTGATCCAATTACTCCTTACCATTGGAAAGCTCAGTTTTCGACATATTTCTATGAAATCTTCATTTCTCTCTTTGACTTGAGACTGCCCTGCAGCAAAGTGACTGCACACAAAGCAAAGACTGGAGGTATGGAACAACATTCTAATTGCTACTGCACCTTTGTTACCAGTAGCTCCGCCCATGCCAGTCTTTACAGTATCAACTGCAACCTCCCTACAAAGACAGTTAAAACAAATTCAGTTGAGCTTTTAGAAGATGATGGTAAAAGGTTCTAGAACCTTCAACTATATTAAAAATCCTACTTCTTTAAAAAACTGAAAGTAATCACAACTAATTTTACTACTGCCCCTTGGCTGCACATACCTGTGTTTATTTCTGTCACACACATCCAGGAACCAACTGTTTCCCTATTTTAACAAATCTGCCCTGCTTTATTACATGCAGGTAATTCTCATTTTTCCCACCCATTGTGAAACAGATTTTTAGCATTTTCAGGAGCGAATGGAAACCAGGAAATGATGCAAGTTGACAGACCTTGCATAAAAGAACACCCACTTGTCCCAACCCAGAAATTAGCCTTGGAGTGATTCTGGAGCTTCCTCTAAGAAGTGTAAACAATCCACTGTGCAAGCAGTGGGTTCTGCTTGTGCAATTAAATCAGAGGAACCTACCACTGGTGCAGTAAAATTGGCAGGCTGCAAAAGAATCACTAGGAATATAATCAAGCTTTGGGATACCCATTCTAAAACTGAGTATGATCAACAGTCATGCAATGCACTATCTACAGATACTGATATCATTTGGTATTGAAACTTTGTAGCTTTTTACCATGGCAATCTAGCAAATACTTATGCAACTGCAAATATCAAGTATGTGAATTCCTATATTGCTTTAAAAACCCATACACTTGAGGTCACCCCTGCCAAAAGTTATTACCGCACTTTAAAACCAGAACAGCAAAGGACATCTGCTATCTTAATGGATAAGAAATTAGGCATCAGGTTAAGAGGGAAGATCAATTAATCAATGTCTGGCATCCCCAGTGATGGGCCCAGAAGCAGCATGATCCACCTTGAAGGTAGGGTCACCTTCTTTTGCTTCAGAGGGAAGGAAAGTGTTCAGTTTAGAATCAGCTTCATATCATTAAGCCACATTTCCTTAATGGTCAGCATTCTGACTTTGGTGGGGCTTGTTACTGACTTTGACACTATTCTTCTTTTGTATTACATAGCCAGACCAGCTAGTTAGTTTTAACATAATAAAGATGTTAGGTTGAAAGCCACTTGTTCTGATCTGCTTGGAAGAAGGGGAATTGATGAGCACAAGGCAGCCTTTTCATGGAGGAAAAATATTGAGCAAATAGGACTATTATAATCTTACAACATAATAGAAACTATTGAATGCTCAATAATTGTTATAGAATCTAAGAGCAATGCAAGGCATGTGAAAAAGTTATCCTTCTATCTACAAAGTTCTGAAGATTCAAAATCTAAGTGTTTATCCACTCATGTCTGGCTTTCTGCTTGTTTGACCTAAGGCAAAGGAAGGAAAGACTCCTACCAGTTCCAAAGACTACACACTCCAGCCCAAACAAGCTTAAGGTGGTTATACTTCAGAGAGGACATGTTTGCAAATGCAACCACCCTTTTCAGCTCAGCACTAAATAAAACACATTTCAGGAAGAAGCTAGATTAGAAAGTCTTTGGGGTTTTTTTGTCAAGAACTATATTCATAGGCACAATTATATTAAAATTTCACTACTTTTACAAATCCAATTGGAAAAAATATGGTAGTAGAAATATCCCTTCTATCTGCTGTTCTATCAGAACTGCTAGCAAAAGGAGTCAGCCATGGCCTTCTATCAATAAGGCTGGTCCTTATGCAAACAATTGATTAAATTTCTTTAGTAACCAGTACTGGAGCTCTCTGGACAGTTCTCAATAGTTAAAATCATACAAAACAACATAGTAGATCATAAAAGTTTAAACTGCAATAAAAATCCAAGTAAATAACTTGATAACATGATAGCTTACATACACAACTGAAATGCCACATATACTTGTCAAAGTAAGTCATTCCACCTTAAATGAGTTGAACTTACGTGTTTTAGCAAGTCAGTTCACTGACCTGATAAATGGTGCATGCTGAGGTCTGATGAATACAAAAAGGCAAACACCCACCAATTGTTCTGAAGTCAGCAGAATATATTTATAATCTCTTGAAATAGTCTTCTGAAGTTCAGCAGCCCATAATTTTTGATTGGTTGTACTGCCAGTGTGGGGAAATAATTTTTATAGAACATAAGCACTTTCAAACTTTGTTCAAGATAACAGAAAGAATGAATCTTGCATATGTGATACAATACATGATAGTTTAAAAGAATGAGGAATTCTATAGGAAGGACAGCTTGCATCAATATTTTAGCCAAATAGGAAAGATACATGAGTCAAGAAAAAGAGGCTGCAGTAGCTGTCAACAGGAAATGTAACTGAAACAATTTATTCAATTTATAGCATGAGTTCCTGAACTCTAACACAACTGCTGCATTCACATGGCATACTAAGCCACACTGCAATAAACTATGCCGTGTGGATTGCTCCTGGAACCACAATACTCCTGACAGACAACTGCACATACCATGCTTGTTCTTCCCCTTCATACTCTCTGGTGTCTTTCATGGCAACAATTCTTTTATCTCCCTTCTCTGATCCAATTGCTAGTCCCTTCTATTTGCTGCTTCTGCTTTTTTTAAAAAACTTTTTGGAAGTTTTAAAACTGCATAATTGGGGCTGCATTTTAATTGTTTTCAGCTCCAGAACACTGCACAGTTGTGATCATAATTTTTTATTATTACCATCTTTTTGTCACTCTTTCAAAAGTGCACTTTTATGGCTGTCATATATATCAATTTCTTTCTATGTTTCACCTCTCAAAGGGAGCAGTGAGCTGGAGGTAACATGCATGGAAACTGATAAGGCACAACTGCAACTTCTCTTTGGACATAGTCCAATTGCAGAGTTGTCAATTGAAAAGCACTGTTAAGGTGAAGGTGACAACAAAAGAAGAGGTAACCAAACTATATGTAGGTGGGACACAGTATCTTCTATTTAGCAATGTAACCCTCCTGATTTTAAATGGTGGACTGTGTCTCTTCCATCATTTCAACACTTCCCTGACTCTCCAGCTAGACTAGAAATGGAAGATATTAACTTTCCCATTTTTGTGGCTCCTTTTCAAAATACAGCAGGGCCCCCATATCCACAGGGATAGGTTCCAAGCCCCCACAGTGGATGCCTGAAACCATGGATAATAGTGAACACCATATACTGTACATATGCATTTCTTTTTCACAATTTTATGGATAGAATTGTTCTTACCATACATTCTAGCAACCTCAGCATCTTTTTCCTTTCCCTATTAAATCAAGAATTTTCACTTAAAGAAAGCACTTTATGACTTCTCCTTGGTACTTTATGTGTTCTCTTCAGCACTTGAGGACATCTCTTTTGGACCAAGGTCAATTGTGGTGAAGTGAAAATTGAACCAGTGGATATGGGGGTACTGCTGTACTGTGCTTCCCTTACAGTTCTAAAACAACTGCAGAGATACATGACAATTTAATGAGTGGGAAAGAAAAGAAGAGGAAAATCATGCCAATTTAAGGGCTGGGAATTAAATGGAGAGTAAAATTGAGCAGTTGCAGTAACTGCTTCCTTAGTGCAAGTGTTCAAATAACTCCCCTCCTTTACTGGCCTGCCCTAACATCAGCACAATTTCCCCCTCCATTTACTTCCCAGCCATGAAATCTGCTTACATTTTCCAGTCCAAAAACTGTGCAAATATTTCTGATGGTATTTTTTAAAAAAACTTACAAGTGATAGAACAGAGCAAGTGAGGCACCCACAGCAGTGGCACTTGCACCGATCCTTCCCTGGACTCCATTCATTCCATCCAATTGCCTTCTCAGGCTTGTTTATTTGTTTTTTTCTAAAGTACTGTCAGGCTGGGATGCATCAAAGTTCTATGGAATCCATTCCTCTTGCATTCATGGACTTCCTATTATGTCAGCTCTTTCTTGGAAAGTGAGACAAGCCAAGAGGAAATCCACAAATGCTCATGGAATGAAGGTTGTACAAGCAGCAATCTTCTTCTGGATCATGTGCAGCAGCACAAAGTCAGCTCCACATGGTGTGGAAGAGGGATGCGACTTGCTCAGTGGACATGCAGAGCTCCATTCCTGTCAAGCGCCATGCAAATAACCTTCTGCTTCATGTGCAAAAGCACAAACAAACATTGCTGCACATATGGAAGAGGGACATTGCTTGTGCAGCATGCAGGGCTTGATTCTTGGGGTACTCACCAGGAACTCAGACTCATGATCATTTCAAAGCAGACCAGAGTCTGAGGAGCCAAGCTCCAGGAATCTGACAGCTTTCCATCCCCAAAACAGATTACTCACACATCCCTACTGTCAGGTAATCTCAGTAAGCACAGCAGTAAATGCAAAGAAAGAACTATAAAATGGGGCAGGAGCAAGGATTTCCCCTTTCTGGACCACTGCAGACTCACATAAGTGTTGAAATGGTAGCCACTGAAAAAGTGAAACACTTGAAATCAAGAGAATTGCATTGGTAAGTGGGAAATACTGTGTACTCACACAGTTTTGGTGCACTTTCCTTTACAGCTTCCCCACACTTATCAGTGCTTCTCAACTGCCAACTCAGCAATGAGAACTGCAACTATGCCCAAATTGGTCTTTATACAATCTTATCCATTTCCATGTATGCTGCCTACTCTACTTCTCTATTCAATTTAACAGCTGAATTGTACCGAGAAATTGATGAGGCAAGACTACACATACTGGACTACTGTAAGAGTGCACTTGTCAAAGAGCACCTCCCAAAAAGAATGCATTTATAAGAGGCAAAAAGTATGGCAAGCCAGTGACAGTCACTCTCCAAGGTGAGACTTGGACATTGGTGGAAAGGCTGGCAGTGGCAATGGTAAGGTTGTAAAGAGCATGGTGGCGGGGGGGCGGGGGCGGGGGGGAGTTTTGCTGCTTTCGCCAAGTGGCTCAATGACAGTCCCTACAACCTCCTGAAGAAATTGCTTTCCTAGGTTTGGAGAACAAAACAACTTATCAATGATCAAACAACCCCCAGAATACACACCTACTTGACAGGGTAGCTTGCTCCCAAGAATCAAGCCACCTTGTAGGAAACAATCTACATTTGGATGACATGACAATCCATAATGGCTAGTTACTCATGTTATGAGAACCCACACCATGTGAGTCTTGGACTGGAAAAACAGGGTGGTATGTCCTAAAGCCTACTTTAAATTTGGATAAATAGCCTTTTCTGGTATTCTAAGACAGCTATACATTTTTCTGACTTAATTTACTATTTTGGTGCCATCACAAGAACGTACTAAATGACTTCAATGTTTTCCTCAGAATAGTATTTGTTATACTGTAGACTGCTTTGACATCGCACCCTCTTTAAAAACCAGTTTGTATTTTTTTTAAAAAATGGGCTGCTATTAAGGGACCAAAAGATAAACACTACTGTGCATGCATAGCTATAATTCTATAATTCTTTAGACACAAGTGACAATTATTAGCATATGAGGAGTAGGTTTTGAATTTAGTAAAGCAATACATTTTCTCAAACCCTTGAAATTTGACAAAATCTGCTTAGCTTGCTTGTATTTTATTCAGCAAATGGCATTTACCTTGCACTCACAATGTTTCCTGCATTAAGCTCAACCATTTCTTCAAATCCTATAGCAAAGATGTCAATTGGCTTGCTTCTTTGATCTGAAATTAATATAGAATCATGTTGTTAATTATTTTAAGAAAAAGAATCAAAACTTCTAAGAATTCATGCAAAACTGATAATATTGTAACAGCTCACACCTTGGAATTCACTGATGCCAGCAACTTTTGGTGCATCTAAAAGCCAATCAGTGAGAGTTTGGTTTCTAAAGGCAATACTTCGAAACTGTTTTCCACCATTGACATTCCAGGTTCCAACACAAATGCGAATTTTCTTTGGCTTTGAATACTTATAAAAATTCTCGCACATGCTCTTCAGTATTTTTGCTGATGCTAGAAAACATTAAAATTCATTTGTTTACACAGGGAGGTTTTTTTTTGGTAAATAAAAGTCATGGGTTTGCAAGCCACAGGTACTATTCCCTAGCTTTGAGCATTAACATCTACTGAACAAAATAAGAATGCAAATATACTACTCAATTAGCATGGCTCAATTATATTTCAAATAATATTTCCCCCTGTTATCTGAGACCAAGTTCTCCATAAATATTTAAGCTGGAATCCTAAACTAGAAGGTTTAAGCATTTTTGTACACAAAGAGCCCATGACAAGAAGTCAGCCTACAAGCAAGTTATGTAACCAGGTGAGTTCAGCAACAGATGGAGGAGGCTAGGGCACAGAACTCTGCCCTCTCCTCTCCTAGTCAGGAGGTATACAGTATAAGTAACAACTAAAAGTCCACCACCCTCTCCCAATAAAATAAAGAAATATAATTTTAAAAATCCCCTAGGTTTTTCAGATGAACAAACTCATTATCAGTTGTTGTTCTGAGGCTAAGATTGAGGGGAGAAGGAGAATTCTGAAAGCCAGCTTGAGTTCCTTGAAAGAAAACGTGGCAAACATGTATTCTCTTGCACCAAGATGTGCCTCCAGGGGGTGGAGGTTTATGGTACTGGAAGATTCACTAATCAGATAAATAGATAGTTGGGTCTGCAATGGGGTTGTAGACCTGGTGCAAAAGTTGAAGATATCACATGCCATCTAGATAGACCTGTGGATAGTGTGGGAATAGAGTCAGTGGCTGTGGTTCATGTTGGTTCCAACGATGTGAAGAAATGTAGTTATGAGGTCCTGGATGCCAAATTTAGGTTGTCAGGTACAAGGTTGAAATCAACAACCTCTAAGGTGGATTTCTCTGAAATACTACCAGTTCCACGTGCAGGACCAGTTGAGGAATATCAAAGCATGAACGAGACAGTGGGGTTGAGAGGAGAATTACAGCATTGTTAGGCATTGGGTAACATTTTGGGACTGGCCAGGCCTGTATCCACTTGAACCAGAATCGAGCCAGACTGCTGTTGCATAACATTACAAGGCTGGCAGAACAAGTTTTCAAACTGAAAGCTTTCCCTGGGGGAAAGCCAACAGGAGCTAGGAACCATCTGGCCTGGGTTAAATGATTCTTAGGGGATGAAAAAGAAAAGGTTGATAATTGCCCAGATGTAGGAGGGGAAGAAATAAGCTACGTGGTGAGATATGATAACCAGTTGGAGAGGACAAAGTGCCAGAATATAAGTTGCACATGTGTGGAGAAGGATACTGCTTTTAAGTGTTTCTGTGCAAGTAGTAGAAGCCTCAGAGCCAAAATAGGAAAGCCAGAGTCTTTAAAAAAGCTAGATATAATTAGCATTACAGAAATCTGGTACAGTGGAGATACCAATAGAACATAGTCAGCTCTGGATATCAACTGAAAGGATGAACAGGGCAGGACATACTGAAAAAGGTGTTGCTCTGTACATTGACGAGGGCGTAGAATCCAGCAGACTTGATGGTCTAAAGTGTCACTCCTCCTCTACAGAAGCACTGTAAGTAAAAATTACTAGCTCCAAAACTAATTTAGCAGGATGCTATTTTCCTTCAGACCAGAATTCTCAGGGTCAACTTGAGATGAGGAATGAAATCAGGGAAGCCTTTAACAAAGACAGTACTGTGATACTGGGTAACGTCAATTACCCCCACAATGACTGGATAAATATATGTTCCAGTTATGACACGGGTTACATTTCTTGATACCCTAAATAACTGTGCCCTAGAGCAGTTGGCCACAGAATCAACCAGAAGGGTGGCAATCATGGAATTAATCCTAGGTGGTGTTTCCTAGGACATAGTATAAGGTGTATGTGGTTGATCTGATAGGAAACAATGACTACAGTACTAGCAGATTTAATACACAGTTAGGTGAAAGATTGCTAAAGAGGCTGTGCACATTTACGTTTGACTTCAAAAGAGGAAACTTGTCAAAAATGAGGGAACTGAAAAAAAGAAGAGTCAAGAAAGTTAATTCCCTTTGATGTGCTTTGAGACAATGCAGAAACACAATAATAGAGGCACAGATAATGTGTATACTACATGTGAAGAAAAGTATCACAAAGTCCAGTAAGTCACCAGCATAGTCAGGGAAGCTATTTGAGAGAAGAAAGCTTCCTTCAAGAAACGGAAGTCTTCCTCAAATGAGAAAAACAAAAGGGACTGCAAGCTTGCACAAGGGAGATACAAGCAGTTACTAAGAGAAGCAAAGAAACATTTTGAGAAGTATGTTACACATGACATCAAGGCCAACAATAAAGATTTTTAAAAAAAATATCAGAAGAAAGAAACCAGCTAAAGAAGCTGTTGGAGCATTCGATGATAATTAAAGGAGCATTAAAGGAGGATAAGGATTTTGCAGAGGATTCACAGAAAAGGATGCAGAACAGAAACCTGTTCTTGAACTTACATATTCTGGAGGGAAAGCTGAAGAATTAAGGCAGATAGTAAGGACAAAAGACCAAATTCTCAGCTTTATCAACAAACTGTAAACCCAGCATATCACCCAGCATATCGTATCCTTCCGAGAGTTTGAAAGAAACCCAAATATGAAATTGCAGACCTGCTTACCAAAATTTTTAATTTGTTTCTAAAATCAGTCCTTGTATCAGAGAACTGGAGAATGTAGACAAGGTAACAACAATTACAAAGGTTATTACAGGTAAATCATTACACAAAATTGTTTTGTAGACAGGCCTGTCCTTTTAAAAATCAAGCTGTTTTAGGGATAAGCTAATACGGTTTAATGCTGTAGCTCCGGGATGCAGTTGAAATGAACTCTAGGACCAAAATGGATTATCCCGTTTACTGTATTTCTCCAAGAACACGATTCAGTGTTAAGTCTTCTTGCTTAAGCTAGTGACAGATTTTGTTCTCAAAGAGTTATTTATTTATTTATTTATTTATTTATTAAAACATTTCTATGCCGCCCCTTGCCGAAGCATTGGGGCGGCTTACAACACAATAAAATATAAAAATAACAATATAAAATTAAAATTAACAATATAAAATAAATAAACAATATAAAAGAAGTCGCCCTGGCCAGATAAATAAGCAAATATTGTTAACAATTAAAATGACGTTTAAATAAAAAGGTCTTCACCTGGCACCCAGATCTCTTTAAATTGTTGGTTTCTATTAAGAATGAACATTTGCTATATAAAGTTACCATCTGGTACTTCCACAGTTAAAAGGTTATACTGACAGCTGTTAAAAGTAGAATGTCATTATAATTTTCTTCAAGCATGTTTTTTGAATATCATATATTCATTTGTACTGAGTTGGAAGGGTTTACTTAGAAGAGCTATTTGATACAAAATACAATTATGCATAGCACTACTGCTACTATACAAGTAATTTTAAAACAAACAAACAAACAAACAAACAAACAAACAAACAAACCAAAGCAAACCAAAGCAAACCAAAGCAAACCAAACCAGACCAGACCAGACCAGACCAGACCAAACCAAACCAAACCAAAGCAGACCAAAGCAAAGCAAAGCAAAGCAAACCAAACCACTAGGATGTGTTCTCTGCTCCAAACAGCAGAGAAAATCCACAATGCTTTAAAATCTGAGCTGACTAACTCCATTTTAAAAACAAAGCTATATATCAATTATCAAATGCCTATGGTGGTAACAATGAAAAATTTGTAAATTACCTTGAAGATTTTATTAAAAGGGAGAAACAACTAGTAAAACTACCTTCCAGTACAAGAGTTTTGGATACCCAAATTTGTGTGTGGTCTCTGTTATTGCTTACAACTCCTGGCAACTTTATATCAAAGTAGTCTACTTTTTTTAAGAAGTAGTAAAAAAAATTCCTGGCAGAACACACAACTGGCAAGTTCACACCATTGACAATTGTGGGTCCCGGGCAAATACGCATGCGAGGACTGGTGCTCCTAATCATGTGGCATCTGTCTTTTGACCCAATTTATATGAACCTGGTTGATATGACCAGTATTATAACTACAATTTAAGAATATGACTGTAATCGTAAAAACAGAGTGTCTTGCCATACCATTGTTACCCACAGGCCCAATTAATATCTTCTGAACAATCAGCAGGCAATCTGCACATGCTTACACATGCCTATGTCTATCATCTGTACAGTTAACCACGCTTTACAAAGAATTCTGTAACTGGTTGCCAAGAAGAGATCCTTACATGCCACAAGCAATGAGGCAAGTGGGTATTTATATACTTGTATTAGCAATCAGAGAGGGCCATATTCCACACATACTGCAGTACAAAATCAAACATGACCACAGGTTACACTGGGGGTTATTTCTAAATGTATGTGCTTACTTATAACTATCATTTCATTGAGGCTAGTTCTTTTTGATAAACTTCAACTTTAAAAGTAGCCCCCCACCCAAGAAAAAGTATCTTAAATGCTCAAAAACTAAGAGAGACTGTAGAGAAGGCCTTCTGATCTCTGCATACCTTTTCTGCTATCTCTCCACCTCTGCTGTTGCTTTTGTCTAATCTTACTGAAAATACATTTAACAATTTAGTAGAATAGTAATCCAAATTATGTATGTATATGAAGTACATATATCTTTGGAACCTAGGTACTGAAGCTGTAGTACACTATTTTGTATAAAATACATGAATCACACACTCAAGCATATTCAATAAAAAGAAGTGTTTTTGTGTATGTAGGTACTTGTCACAGGTATGGTTGTTATATATTCAGGAAAATTTATCTACAGACTCCATGCATGGCCAGCAATCTGTGATAAGTTCACCCTTGGAACTGATTGGATGGGAAGAAAAGGCAGGTTGCTTACCTGTAACTGATGTTCTTTGAGCGGCCATCTGTACAGTCACACATATGGGTGCTGCGCCTGCGCAGTGCCTAGGCTGGAAAATTAAAAAGCTAATGGTTTTTGGCAGGAAAACTCCGCTCCCCTCCCACTTCGTGGTATAAATAGAGCGGAGTGTCCGCCATTTTGTTCAGTC